GTGTCTCAAAACTTTTCTATTGATTTACATATACTGTACATTCTTCACTAAATTACAATTACTGATAAAAATTGGGAGAATTCTAACAGATTAAACACACAATATATCCAATTATGTAACTGAATACAATGATGAGACAAACCTCCATCACTGGCACCAAACAATTTACGAAGGCTAAACTCATTTTTTTCATCTCGTTTCTGAAGTGTCTCCTTTAGAGATTTTGCTACTTTGTAAAAATTTTCCTTTGAAACTGCAACATTTTGTATTTTTTCCTCTTTTGTATCATAAACTACTTTTGGTTCCTTGTCTGTTGAGTTATCAGGAACCTTCCTCTTTATTTTGGGTTCGGTTTTTTCCTCAAATTTAGCATGGTCAGGTTTTGTAGGATCAAATCTGAGCATTGGAACCCTTCTGAAAATCAAAAGCATGTATTACAATTACTGATGCTTGTTTTTCATAAATATACATTCAGAAAGTTGTTTTAACATAACTTTCAAGTAGATTATCTTATTAAATATAACTTAAAATTATGTTTTAATACACAAACTTTGATTTGTCTTTCTTGTCCTCTTTAATTGGTATCGGATGACCAAGGACATCTTTTAATATTTCAAACTGTCTCCTTCTCTCATCTTCAACTCTAGCAGTTTGGACACTGTCCGATGCTTCAGCACAAACTTCTTCATCACTCTCATAAAACCTTTCATCCAATGCAAATCTGTTGTCACTTGCAAATCGAGACTGTAGTTCTAGAAGCTGAAAACGATATTATTATAAAACACTGTGTGAAATAAAAATTGAAAGTAAATCAGTATATATGTCTTCCAAAAATACATAAAACAGCAATTAACTTCAATATTATTAACGCCCAATTTAAATTATATGCCATGATATTAGGCAACATTTGAAGACAATACTACAAGGAAGATTAGAAACTTTAGGGATGCAGTGATATGAACATGCATTAGGCATGGACAACAATAGGATTTCTTTTGAGAACATTTAGAATTAAGATTACAAATAAATTACCATTGGGGAAACCAAAGACAAAATTAAATATCTGCAGCAGCCTTAGAGGTCTCAAACCTTTTCAGAAATCACTGGCCTATGTCAGGGGTGAAAGCATTATATACTGGAGATATGAAGCACATTTGTAATTATTTCTTCAGTTCCTTAATAGGATGGTCATTTTAACTTCAGGGTCCACAAATCACCCTTTACCCATCTTTGGCATACCAAAAGTACTGTGCTAAACAACTTTCTCCAGATGCTTAGCAAAGGCAACTAACACAGCAAAATGAGGGTCTTTGTTACATGGGATTTATATGTGCATTACAGATCATGCATAAATGCATTATACCAAAATTTCATAATATGGATCAAAGGTCTGGCAGATTTTAACATAGTTCTGTAACTAGTATCACATGATAAATTACTGTATTTTAAGTTATTACCTTCTGTCCTTTAACACCTTCAAACTGAGGCTTAACTTTTAAGTTTCCTTCTTCATCACCATCTGAAGAGTCTTCAAAAAGAATTGTCTTTTTGTATGACTTTCCCAGCAATTCAGCATTAGAAGATTGTGAGATATTATGAGAAATTGTTTGTTTAACTATATCCTCATATTTATTTTCAGAATCAAAAACAATCTTATTGTTTCTGAAACCAGAACCCTTTAAACATAAATACAGCATATTAATTTCTGTGAATATATAAAATCAAACAATTTGAAATGCAAGGATAACAAAATTAAAATTAAATTTATTGCCCCAATTTTTAAACATTCTACATTGTTTCTGAAATTTATGGATGGTCACTGTGAAATTCTTGCAATGTGCTATAACAGATATTCAAAGTTTCATTTCAACCCAGACTATTTGTTCTGTAACATATATATTTCCATGTCTAGGACAGAATTAACACTGGTCTAACCAGAGATCAATAAACAGAGTGAAGCCCACTTTTCATGTTTTCTCTGCAAGACATTAATCTGAATATTATATTGAACACATTCATACACAGAAAATGCAATGCTTTAGGACAACAAAGAATAATCATCTGTTAAATGATGGGGAATCCTTAAAACAAAAACTGAAATTCCACTATACTATTGCCTCAGCACATTTCTATTGGATGAACCAGTATTTAAGTAACAGGTTACAAGCACACTGAATACTTATACTTGCAACATGGAGATTTAAGATAGAATCAGATTAGGACCCAGAAAAGTTACTGTATTAGATTATGACACTTGAAAAATCTTGTCATTATACGTACTACAGAGCTGAGTGCCAATTTGATTGTTTCCTTTTGTTTCTGAAATGACTTCCTTTTCTCATCAACAGATTTCTTGCGCTTTTCTTCTGCAAGCAAGCTTCTAGTTTTATCCATAGGGTTTTGCTCTCTACAATTATGCATTTTTGTAACTGTTTTGCCATGTTTGGTAGTATCACAATTCATTGGTGAGTCTCTCCACACATCACTAAAAATCTCTAATCTCTGTAGTAAATTTGTTGCTGCATTTGCTGACTGAGATGTCTTACTATCTGGCTCAATCTCAGTGTGACTAAAGTTACTATCTGAATCATAAGGAGCAGTCCTTGTCCCACCAAACATTTTTAACTTTCCATTGTACATTATTTCAGAATCACTAGTATTATCTGACAATCCAACTGCTTCTTCATTGAAGCTAGAGTAATTTATTACAGATATAGTCTTTTTAGTCCTCTGTTTCTTCTTTGAACATCCCAGTTCTTCCACTGATCTTTTCTTTGATTTCATACTTTTATTGATCATATATGGATCATCTAAACTACAGTGTGATTCTGATTTATTATTTCCATGTCTTTCCTTTTGAAGCCTACTAAGAAAACTCTCCTTTGCAAGCTCCAATTTTATCTTTTTATCATTCCATTTCTTAGTTGATAATGTTGCAAAACCTGCAAAAAAAGACAAAGAAATATTAACATTCACACTGGGACCTAACATTCATCACATATTTTAAAAAATATATAAAAAAACCTTACATGAATTCAGCTTATCTTCTTCAATTATAAAGTCCAAGAATGCGAAGGTTGAGGAATCTGGACGCTTTTTAATTTCTACAGACAACACATTGCCAAACTTATTAAACCACTTTGCAATTTCTGTCTGTGTAATATCTGGAGGCAGGTTACCCACAAACACACGTTTCTTTTCTGCATACCTGAAAATAATTGTTTTTTAATAAATTGAGTTAGGGGTTTAATCAAGACTTATTGTTGTTTATGGGCACATATTTCAGTGGTAGGTAGAAGTTTACAGAATAAATGTTCTGCTCACCAACTGAACAATCATTTTAGAGTTAACAGAATTAAAATGAAAGATTTGGTGGAACAAAACTTGTGAAAGTTTAGAATGAAAACAAAAACCCTGTAAAGTACATTTGTCAGACATAGAAAGCATATTAAAACTTGTGAAAGTAGTCTACTTAAGGTAGAATTGCCAAACATGCAACAATATAAAACAATGTTCACATTACCATTATATATATATATATATATATAGAGAGAGAGAGAGAGAGGGGGGGGGCACTGGTTATGAAAAAAATATTTCCCGCCCTTATAATGATCAAACAATATTCTGAATGGTAATGTGATAATAGGACCCAAGATATAATTTCGTAAGCCACAATAGCCTGTATATTATCAGAATTTATTGAACAGGGTGGTGGTTAGATATGGAATGGGTCTGTTAAATCTGGTGACTGAAGTAAAACTTGAATTTAGTAGCACATTGGTTAAATGCCCTGAATTTTTCAATGTACACTACACCATGTTTAGACAACACTAAAAATACAGTATGCCCTTTTATTCCATATACATTTGTCTATATCTACATATTTACACACAAGGGTTCTAATTACAATACATTTACGTCATTCGGCTAACATAGTTCTAATTATTATAATTTCCTCAAGTACTGTAAAACATTAGGAAAAATTATTATTCTTGCTGCTTACATGTTTGTTCGTATTATTTGGAGGTTAGGTTCAGGATTGAAAATATATGAACATACTCTAATATTGGCAGCATTGGATAAACAGATGATTTGCGGAGATTATAGATGACGTACGTACAACTGATATTCCAAAACGTTGTGCAAGTGCTTTGAAATACAGACTTCTTTCTTGGCAAGATATTCTGAATTTTTGCTTTAAAGACAGCTGGTAATGTTTCGTTTTATCAACTCTTCGTTCATCATATGCATATAAGCAATTCAATTGTTCGTCCTGTTACGTTGGTATCAGTTCACTTACCTTGTTACCAAAATTCAAACCAAAAGATACAGTATTGGGAAAGTTGTAAATGGTTTTTTTGTTTAATAGGAATTTGTGAAATGCAGCGAAGTAATACACAACAAAGAATTGAAGCATTAATAAGAGAACGCAGAAGAATTAAAACATCAATTGATCAACTAAAGGAGAAACTGTCAAAAAGGCGTGTTAATGTAACATTCCCACAGAAAGAAACATATGATTTTGAATCAAGGTAATACTATTATAGCATGTTTTGATACACATTTTAACTTATATTATGACCTTCCAAATTTGTATGAATGATGTCTTTCCTGGCTTGAACAAATGGATTAAATCCAATAAACACATTAAATTTTGACAGAACAAATTTCTTGAAATTTTGTAGTACCAACAAAATTGTGTGAATCTAGGTAACATACATACATATTATTGAATTCCTTGCATTTATAAGATAGTCAGATGACAGTAGAATGTGGAATAAGTCATAAAAATAAAATATGTATATACAAATGCAATTCAAACTATTATAAACTTTTCTCATAAAATTAATAAATAAATCCACACATGCACAGCAAATAAATTAACTACCCATTTATAATGAACAAAGGGAATAAAACCTTTAGAAACATTGAGTCATTTTTAAACATTTTAAATCCATCCACATTGTAAAACGAGTGTATATTTAAGCACCTTTTTAATGTTACTTTAAAATGTGATTTTTTATTCATAAGACTCGTAGACTAGATGGTAGACTGTTGAAAATCCTGTCCCGGTTTTCGTCTTTTGACACTTCACAGATCCACTGTCCCCACACTTACAAATTCCATTACAGTCAAGCGTGAACAGACATACACCAGCAGGAGTGATGCATTACGGATGGTCTGGCTACTGCAACAGTCACAGAAATACCCAAACTACCCATTTATAATGAACAAAGGGAATAAAACCTTTAGAAACATTGAGTCATTTTTAAACATTTTAAATCCATCCACATTGTAAAACGAGTGTATATTTAAGCACCTTTTTAATGTTACTTTAAAATGTGATTTTTTATTCATAAGACTCGTAGACTAGATGGTAGACTGTTGAAAATCCTGATGACAGCATAGAATGCACTTTTCTGAAAGCATGACAGATTGGCAACTGGTCTATTAAGCTGATACTTTTTCCTTGTGTTAACACTGTGTACAGCAGAATTTGTCTGAAAATGTTCTTGGTTATTCACAATGAAGTTCATTAATGAGAATCTGTATTCAAATAGAAGAATGTAAGATTTTAGGTTTTCACAGCAGTGAGTAAGAAGATTTCTGTCTTCTGGGTTGTTGCACTGTGTAGAGTGGTCAATGTTAACCAACGTTTCAGAGGTCATACTGCCTCCGTCATCAGGGCGATGAGCTAGTAGCCATTCCAAAATGTTTGTAATAAAAATATATTGCTTTTACCTGCTTCTTTGTATATTCTTACAGAGATTCTCAAACTGTTTCAAATAGAACTGAAAGTCCATCACTTCTCATGAAAAAGCTCGAGATCTCTGAATGGATTAACAAAGTGTTTTACTCAAATGATGAAATAAACCTCTTGGATAATGGCTCAAGCCAGTATATTGCTGTTGGTGAAACAGGATTGGTTACTTTCCAAATCCAGTTTGTTGTGGAAGGCATGGAGGTATGTTAACATATTTTAAAATTATAATTTCATAGTACTACTTCCTCAGCTACAAACTGTTATAAACATAGATGTCAGCTTCAAAATAGTAATTACTAAGTATGTTCCAAGTTCTTTTACTGTTAACAAGTATTTTTTATGAGGCCATTTTTGCTCCAACAAATTAATAGTTCAATCTGTGCATTTGATATATTGTCTTTTCTATTTTATGATTTTGTATAGATGCCCTGTTAATATAAATCTGTTGCAGTAAGTAGGATAGTACAGATTTCTATAATGCATCAGAATATCTTCAGATCAAATGTCATCAAGCCTTTCAAGTTGTTCAGTTTTCCCTTACAATGTTCCAAAACCTGTACTGCCACAAATTTTTACAAGAATTGTATATTTGTGTGTTATAGTTAGAAAAAGTCAATATCTTATCTTTCATAATTGTACAATTCCTAATACACATGCTCACACATACATACACATGCTAGTTCATCATCTGTAGTTTCATTCAACATGTGTTATGTTTTGTTTTCATATGCCTGCATTCTTATAGGGCAAGGATTCATATGTAGATATGGCCATATATAGTTTTGTACCCCATTTCACAAGGCAAAATTTTGTGGTATGCCATCATGCGTCTATGTCTAGGGTCTGCCATGGGTGAAAAAGTTTGAACACTGCACCATTGCTCCATGATAATCTTATCATCCCATTAGGTGTACAGTAGCCCTGAGCAGACAGCACATTCTCATACCCTTGGCCCTAGGGCTTCATCTCTGATCATGTACTTGTGTATTCTAGAAGGTAGTTTTTTATGAGACGTATGAAATGTATTTAAATGAGAATTAGAAAAATTTATATCAACAGTTTGACACAAATACCATATTTGCACATACCTAATCAACTTTAATTTATGATGGTGAAAGGCATATAGGTACAGGTTCTCAGCCCTATGCCCAATCTGTTAAGAAGGTATATAGGTCAATCAGTATTGTTAGAATTCTGAAATCTAGGAGGCTATGATTGATTAGGCTTTCAAATATGATAGAGGAAATTAGAATACATACAGAATTTTGGTCATAAAACCTGTTGGAAATGGCCACTTTGAAAACTGAGGAAATGTGTGATGAGAAAGGGATGTGAATGATACTGATTTTTGGATGTATCCAGTGGCAGGCTTTTGTATTTGAAAGTTGCTACCTGTGTTGGTTACTTGTCCAGTGGCAGGTTTTTGTACTACCAATGCTGAAGATTCATATTCTGCTGCTACCTTATTTTGTTCTGAACTTGATATAATTTCTTATCAAACAATACCTGAAGCACCAAAAGATTTATTTATGATAGGGATTACCAAGTGTATAGTTTCAGTAGCACTAATAAAGTGACATACATTATAGAGAACCCTAATAGACATGAAAAATCACAATTTGTGCTATGACATGTTCTACATCCTTGGCTTAGGTGTATGAAGGACCTATGGAACGTAAATAAATTCTATTTTATTCTATTGTTCAGGTTCACACTACAGTTTGTAATATCAATATATATCCTTGGTATAATATTGTAATTCCTTTCATTTTTCAGAATAAAGGAATGATTGTTCACTCATTAAAAGTCACGTATTATGATCCTTTCCATGAAGCTGAACTGAAGACTTTCACTAACAGGTGTATTAGGCAAAGCAGTTTACAGACATTTGTTAGAGGCGTAGCAAGTTATGCAGAATTGTTTGCAAACAGGGAAGAAATTACTGACTGGCTTATTGAAGAAAATGGACCTCATTTTTCTGTTAACAAAATTCATGAAGATGGAGCATATGATATTAAGGCTAAAGGAAGAACCATTTCATATTTCAATTGTGAATGGAAAATAATTTGGAATGAAGGATCATTGGCTATGATGCCATCTTTCACTATCCGAGCAAATAATAAAAGTAAGTTACATCAGTGATTCAGTCTTCTGTTTCCGTTACTGGAGAATAATGTGGTTTAGAGCTTCAAATTTTCTGTAGGATTCAGATATGTAAGTACTGTTTTCTGCATTCACATATGCAGCAGACACTTACCAACTGAGGGATTACATTCGTGAAAAATACCATGGCTGGCAAGACCAAAGCCTTTGTTCCTTGTTCCTTCATTATATACATAATCTTTAAAAATAATAACCAACCACGTTAGTGCCATGGTAAGATTGCCACTAAGGACAGTAGTGTCACTGCATCCCTGATGTACCCAAGCACTATAAATTTACTTTGCTTCTTGATTACAGGTGATTAACGCCAATGATTTGCAAGTAAAGACACCAGCTATTTTCATGAATATACATGGCGAACAAAAGTAAATTGTTATATGCAGTGTTTGGAAAGCTAAAGATTCAGTAATTTACGCATGTAACATAAAAATGTCATGCTTTAGAAATGAAAATGTGATTCTTTTTCTAGATAACTTCTACAAGGAGAATGAGTATCTCTTCAACAAAATTGTCTCATCTAGTATTACACCAGAAGAGACAAAAGAGTTATGGAAGGAACTTGCAAGGGCTGTAATCCTAGAAAACGAGTTGGCAGTTGTGAAGGTACCCAGCTGCAAATAAGTACATTCACTTTAAAAAACTTCACAGTTGAACACATTCTAGTTAACTGTTTAGTTACTATTAGGATATTCTGGATTTATGTTAAAGTAGCTTAAATATGCATCTTAACCTTCACTGTAAACAAACTTCTGCTACAATTAATGCTTCTTTAGAGTATGATATGCATTAAAGTGGAAGTCTGTCAGGTTTTGTTAACATAACTAGATTATTATGTAAGCCTTTTTTTTGTCATTTCCATAACTGTTTACCAGATAACAATGTGTTGTGTTTAGGTACAGAACTTGTTGAAAAATGTCTTATGCATGATGTGTTCTCGGGTTGGGGACATCTTTAGATTTTTTGGATAGCTAGCATGTACTGTAGCAGGCATGGGAGAAATTAATCCGTAAAGTAAAGGTAAAGTTTTCCCTAGTACTTAACAAAGATACGCTCAGTTCTTTGAATAGTATTAACTTTTTTATTATGAAAAACAAATCTCCGCCTCATTTCTTCCCAGAGTTCAAAATTTCCAGGAATTCTACACCTCTTCCCATCTTTAGATTCACATCTGAAACTTGGGACTTTGTTTTGAAGTATCTGCAAGTAAAAGAAGTCAAAATCTAAACTGACGACAAGGTCATCAAGAGTCAACATATAAATACCTGTGAACAAAAATAACAAGTGATTTTCAGATAAAATACAGTTCCAGATATGCTTGTTTCTGTTCTCAAAATAACTGATCCAATTTTCCTAAGACAAAAATTAAAAAAATGCCTATTTTATGTAGTTAAACATCTCTTATGCTGAGAAAAGAGCCAAGTTACAGTTACTTGATAATGATGTTTGTTATAAATAAGTAAATTAAATGAGGGAATGGATGAAATAACATACACAAACTTGATGACTTCTCGTGTCAGATTGTTACGGTAGTATACATCTCTGAAATTTTGACAAAGGTGAACACATACCTTTCAATAGCTGAAAAATGATATTCATACTAAACATCACATGTGTACCAAGGTCCCAAGTGACAATTCATACATGGAACAATCTGTGAGTAGTAGTCATTGTTTTATAAACCTGCAAGTTAACAAGAGCCTGCCACCATTTCCTATCCTGACCCATGTTAAACCAGTACAGACCCTGCCTCTTGATTTCCTAAAGATTAATTTGGTCAAATATACACTACTGAAAATGCCAGGTGTTTTGTGCAGTAGACCAGGAAGATGCACATCACAGATAATAAATTACAAAAGCACTTGCAAAAATTTTCCTTTATTACAAAATCATACAAAATTACGCTAACAGAACTTTGCACAATTCACTTTCAGTAATTCTTAATTCATACAAATACCATGTTTCTACACTACAATGTTATATGTAACATCTGACATCACAGACAATATAAAACCATAAAGTTGCTTTGAAAAGAAAATTAACTGCTTATAAGAGGGCATAAAATACTTTAGGCTTTATTTTTTATCACAACTAAAGGATGCAGTTCTGAACATGTAAAGTAAAGCTGTCCCACTATACTCATTCTTGACCTCGGCACTAGAAGGGGGCGAGTGGTCAGCATCACCCCCCGGCTGTGCTTTACCCCCTGGGGAAAGGACCCAGTACCCATTAGACAGGAGGCTGGGTGGGCCCCAGAACCAGTCTGGACGCAGAGGCTAGAGGAAAAATCCTCTGCTCCCATCGGGGACTGAACCCCGGTTGTCCATTCCATAACAATTCACTATACTGACTGAGCTACGCTGGCTCCCGCAGTTCTGAACATGCTATACAACAAAGTATCAACTTCTTTTAAGTGCTAATCTGGTTTCTGCATAATTCTCTAAAAACAATTTTCATACATCACCAAAATATATTTTGAATTCATAGCTTGTGTCATAAAGCGAGTTACTATTCAAATCCATACAAAACAAGAAATGGTGTTTCACTCCACATTTCCATATATATTTATGTAATACTGATGAGATGGAGAAAGCAATAAAGTGGCATTCTTAATGTGGTGTGTTTCTAGGTTTTCAAGCACCAAAATTAACAATAAATGAATATTAAAATAAAATAAGTGTAATACCAGCCTGCAGAAAATAGTGATACACTGAAAACCAGAAAACATTCTGCATCTGCATTTACTGGAAATTAGGATTGTAAGGAGCTTGTTTAGAATATACTTCATTTGCTGTAGCTTCACTGTATGGTGGTGGCTGCTGACCTAAGGAGAAAAAGAAAGCACTCTAATGTAAATATTATTCAGCTACACAATTCCACCCTGCAAATTCCAGTCATATTCAGACATGAAACTAAGGTTTTAAAAGTTTAATGTTACCTGCTAGTGGTGGGTACACTGGGTAAGCTGTTGTTTGGGGCATGGGCATCAGTGTGGGCTGAGGTGGATATAGAGGAGCCTGTTGTTGAACTGGCTGTGGAGTAGCCACAGTGGTCTGCACTCCTGGTTGAAGGACATCTTCGTAAAATAGGTATATTTGCAAAAACAGACAAAGAAAAGCAAAACAAGGCTAAGCCTTAAAAATTATTTCCTAACATAAACAAGACATAAATCCATTCCCATTTTATTTTAAAACATTTCATCCACAATACAGCTTATTACAGTGGCTGTCACTAGAAACACTGAAGGTCAGTAAGTGATTTCAAATGCCTAGGGTGAGGCAAGTTAAAAGTGTTTATATTAAAATTAAAAATACAACAAACACTAAAAACAAGACCAGATGTTAACAGAGTGCAGATTTTGTTATGTACCAGGTTTCCATTTTATGAAGCTGCAGTCATGCTTGCATTGCGTGGTCGGCTGGCGATCTGTTGACGTCAGCAGGACTAGTGCGTGTTCTTCCCATGAGTCACCGGCGAATCAGTTTCATTGCGTCTCTCGTTGCGCATTGACGTTGATAATATGGTGTATAGTATTACGCAACGTGTGTTCTTAGTCGAAACATATGCCAAATATTCATCCTACAGAAGATGCCGCCATAAATATCGCAGACATTTTCCTGGTGTAAGTGTTCCTAGCAGGTCCATGATAGAGAGATTAGTAAAAAAAATTCATAGTACGGGATCAGTTTAGGATAAAAAGAAGAAAAGGAAATGGAGTGTATTGACGGAAGAGAAATTGGATGAAATTGGGGCTTTCTTAGAAAAAAGTCCAAGGAAATCTTTGGCATGTTTAGCTGCACAATCTGGCGTGTCACTGGGATCTGCTCACACAGCAATGAGACTTCTGAAAATGTGACCATATAATAACTGATGAAGAAAAGACTTACAGTTTCTTCATGCAAGACAATGCTACAGCTCACACAGCTAATCGGTCGATGTTAGCATTAAGAGAAGTGTTTGGTGAACAAGCTATCGATCAGTGGCCTCCGCGTTCCCCAGACTTAAACCCGTGCGATTTTTACCTGTGGGGCATGTTGAAGAACAGGGTTTATGTAAACAATCCGCACACTGCAGAAGAACTTAAAGAAAATATTCGACAACTGATTTCGACAATTACCCCAGAAGAGCTTCGTCGAGTATTTAGAAATATGTTAACGAGATGTGAAGCTTGCCTGCAAGCACAAGGAAGTCACTTTGAACATCTTTTGTGATTTAAGGTAAGAACAATTAATGTAATAACATGTATTAGTGACGAGAAATATTCGTAGTTCGCTGTTACTAGCAGCACTGAAACTGATTCGCCGGTCACGACTCCCGCCCGCATCAATGGGGCGCCAGCCGACCACGCAATGCAAGCACGACCGCAGCCTCATAAATTGTAGACCCGGTACTTGCTAGTAGTAAAGAGAAATGAAGTATAGATATGAAAATAACTGGCATTAATAATGCTGCACATCTGGCAACTAAGCTCTTGTCCTTATTCTGACAATGCTGTTACAGACCTGTTACTTTATGATGGTCCTTTGCCAGTGCAAGAGAGGACAGAAAGGGAAGGGAGATGAGAATAGAACACCTTTCTAAACATGGGAAACTTTTTCCACTATTACATACTGCCATAAACAGTCCCACGATGACGCCTTTTGTATATCAAACAGCAAGGGCAACACAGACAACACAAGCAAAAGACAAGCAAGAAACCAACAGCAGCTGCAATTAGTATGGGCAGGAGACCTGCAAAGCTGAAAGAAATAAACCAAAATAAAATCCACTGTGGTAAAATTACATCATATTTTTCTGGAATTAAATAGAAGTCACCAGTTACCTTTCTTTATAGGATATATTAAAAATAAATAATGCATATGGTCTGGATTACAATTAACATTTTAACATATGCATACCAGGTGATGACTGGTATTATTGGTAAAATGCTATGATGGCTGTCTTCTGGGATGTAGTGTCAAGTAGTCTGGCATCATCAGAGTGATGAGTCGCTCACCCTGATGATGGAGCCAGCAAGGACCTCTGAAATGTTGGTATAATTCTACCAGACTACACAGCACTACAGCCCAGAAGACAGCCATCTTCATACTGATCTCCAAGAAAACCTTAAATCCTGCTTGGTAAAATACTGTCTTTACTACAAATTTACAGTTATTACTATAGTTCCAAATAATACGAAAATGTAGAGGAGTTTAATTAAAACATTGTGTCCACTCCATCAGTTCTTTAGCTCTCAGGCACAAAAACCTATGTTTTTAAAGGCACTATACACTCCAGAAGCAACAGATGTTTAATATTTGTCTTCTTCATTTAAATGCCTGGGTACTGATGGTAGCATTTACATTCAGTGGCATTGAATATTTACCATGTATGAATGTGTAACCATGTAACAAATCACTTTCTAGATCTATGGCATTGATTTAATAAATATGTATGATGGAGCTATACACTGATGAAAATGTCCAAGGACACAGACAAAAATCTCAGAAGTAACTTTTATATCAAAACTACAATGTAATTCCTAAGAGTAAGGACACCTGAAACAAAATGCTGTATATTCACCAGAACGTACCTATTGAAAAAAAATTGTGTACTGTTACAACAGTAAACACTATTTGCATCCACACAGCAATACATGTTATCTGCATTGTCAAAAAAAGAGGGACAAGATTTCACTTTCACAATATCTAACCTCTCCAGCAATGTTTGGTGATGGTCCAATGCACACTCCATGCCTGAAACAAGTAATCATAATCGTGCATAATCCAAATCAACTAAAATTACAATTTCTGTATATTGCAACAGGTTTACTGGAGACATTTTTAAATATACTGACTACTACACTCTTCTGACCATTTCCTCCTTCATCCACTGACACTTGTAGAATGGTATAAATACATTTAACGGAGCAGGAAAGGATGGCAATGTTGATATATTATTAAATAACTCAACACAACTCTTATCTTTTGACTTCACTTTATCATTAAAACTGATCAAGGCGTGACCTAACGCCATTGGCAAAATGCCGCACCCTACTGTACTTGTTTATTGTTCAATACTTACACGTAGCTACGTGGAGCCACGACAGGGAAATATAGGATACAAATAGAGCACTAAGCCAACAGTAACCCATAATTCGCTGTTCCTTATCTACGTACAACCCGTAATTCCTTCAATCTCTCGGACCAGCACCAAAACTAACAACACCAGTACAACTTCGCCAACAGGCCACAGAATACTTAACCACAGACTCCTCAGAAAATTGTTTACAGTTTTTTGAGCTACGTCCAGCGCTCGGCTTCACTGTACTCTTTTTCAAGAACTCTACCGCTACCTTCTTTGCCCATTGATAGCTACACTGTGGGATCCGTGTCCACGTTATACTCTAACATTAGGTGCCAAGAGAACGCAGCGGGCGAGTTTCTCCATTCTCGTTGAAAACGGCCTTCAATTAGGAATTTAGTTAGTCTGGATTTTATTTGTAATTAACAGGTTAGGATTTAAGTAAGAACGAAAGATATTATCAGGTTGCAGGTATAACTTGTTGCATTTTTTTTAAGTTACAAATTGGTCCGAACCAGGGACTTGAAATGAGAATGTAGTAATGATTAAATTTAGGTTTTCATTGTCTTTGAGCCAAATTTCAGAGGTTTTTACTTTGTGTCATAGGTTGTACTTCAATTATGAAAAGTAATTATTGCGCTATATTTCACTGGGTACTGCACTTTTGAAACCGTGTAAGTTTTCCCCAACTGGAAATAAATGTAATGTTATTCATAATACCCGCTTTTAGACTAACATGCTCTTAATCGTTACAAGTACACAGATAGACATTTAAGACTTAAAACAGTTTATGATATATTTGAATATGCTATTTCATGAAATAATATGTCATAAAAATGTCATACATAAAGATATTTTGTGCTTGGTTCGATGTTGGGGGTGGGGGTTGCAACGTCAGCTAATGCAATCTATTAACCAGCGTAGGCGATGTGTCCAGCAGCCATCACGTTTGCAGCTGCACAAGCGCAGTAGAAGTCTTCATAATGGAAGCTCTCGGTAGTGTTGGATGTGAGCATTATAAAAGGAAATCTAAGTTTGTTGTAAGTAAATGTAATTCTGCCAAATTGTAAATCAGCATATCAAGCTTTAAACGTTAAGGGTTATGTAGTATATTATTCCTTTGACTATAATTATTGGGAAACGGATTTTACGTCTTTCAGATTGGCATCAGTCAAATATGGGGAACGTTTTTTTTTCTCCAGTCAGTTGCAAAGTTTGTGTGGTACGTCGTACAAGAAATAAACATCAGAACTGGATAACATTATAGAAGTGCAACCTATAGGAAAAGGCTGTCAACCCCCCTGGTTTGTTCCGAAGTTTAGCACGATGTCAAATGGATGCAAGGAAAATCCTTTTCGCATTTGTCAAAACTAAGGAAATTAACAGCATTTTTGCAGGGTCATAGTAGTTTAGCTTCATAAAATAAAAAGATATAATACAAATACTTCCTTTCCCTATTTGTTTGGTATGCTTCGCATTATACGTCGGTGGTATGAATGACATTGATTTCCAATTAAATTTTTCCCACATTGGCATCATAATGTTCTTGTAGCCTTGGTGCAGTTAATATGTACACCCGACGCTTGATGCCCATTAAATTCATTTGATATGCATCTTCCTCATATTTTGGAAAAGTTTCAATCGTGTACAAAACATTGTGCTTGTTAATGTTACATGTGAAACGTTTCCAAAATTAACGTTAGTGTGTTCTTAGGTTTTGGGTTAGTGGTCATTGACACATTTTGTAAAACTACATATCCTTTCACACAGAAGTGTTCATTCTGTAAGGAAATGTTTTGATTGACAAAAGTTTCTGAAACTTTACACAATCAAATTTTAATCATATTCTCTCTCACACCCAACCCCAACCCCTATTGTTAGTACCTAACTTTGGAGGGATATGGATTTTACTCTAAATGCAGACCTTATAAGAACACCAGTTTCAAAAATGTATTAATGTTGTAAATTTGGATCCTGATTGTCACAAATTAATCATTTAACTTGGAGTTCTGGTATAAAGCATGGAAAGCAAGAATTTTCTGTGATTTTCTTATTTTTTAAGCAAAAGAATTAGTGTACAGTTTCTGTCACTTAAGTGTTTGAATTCTTTAGCGTCAGAGAAGTTGTTGAAATTCCGCTTTCGTTATTACGGAAAGAGCTGAGTTGTGAATCGCTTGTAGAAGAAGTGTGTCGTAGACTAGATATTTTTGTGCTGGTAAAAACGTTTTAGAATATCACAAGTACTTATCTTATATAAGAATTATTACATTACATTCAGCTACCACAGACCCATCTTAAGCGTAACTAATTCAAGTTAAATAAGCAATGTCTTAATCAAACTATTTACTCAGTTGTAAAGCATCTATAAAGGAAATATTTAGAATAAAGCTAATATATAAACGTCCTTTCAATTTATTTATTGCTTAAATATAATTTAAATACAGAGACATATTTATGTCAGATTCTCCGGAACCGTGGTTCCACTGCCCTTTTTTTTTTTTTTTTTGATAGAGTTTAATTTAAATTCCTTGTTATGATCTGTTGTTTTAATTTACATTTTCTGTTGTCTCTACATAAATGCATATTAGTAAGTTATAATTTTACATGACTGTTTACTTCCTTATCAGTTACATATTGTCATTTGCAGATGGTATTCATAACTTCACATTCACTATCCTTATTGTTTTCTTCTTCAGACACCTTGCTGCAATAAAATATATACATGTCGTTTCTGTCATGATGAAAATGAGAGCCACTGTGTAAATAGAAAGGATGTGACTGAGCTTGTATGCACAAATTGTGACACCAGACAGAAGGTTCAAGCAGAATGCGAGAATTGCTCTTTGCGATTTGGGAAGGTAAGTCAAGGTTTGTCCATGAAATACCAACATGATTTTTGGGTTCATGAACAATATCACCCCCACCCCATACACATATATGCAGTTAGATAGTAGTAGTGAACTCAACATTTTGTACCGTATCTGTATGAGGTGTTTCTGAGGATCAAGTCAAACCTACAGGCAGATACGTCTGGTCTTGAAGTTACAGTTAGCATTGTTGGTAAATAAAAGTATGTATCATCAGTTACGTAAAAATGTAATTTGTCAGTTGCTGAACATTTCATAAAAAATACAGTATTTGTATATGACATGCACAGAATAAATAATCTTTATTGGCCAGGCATTTTTTTTTCACCAATCACTGATGGGTAGATGAATGTATTTGTTGAAATGTAATTATGAGTAATGATGGGAATTTGTCACATGTATGTATATATATATGTATGTATGTTTAATAACTTAATTTAGAAAGTTTCCTGAATTGCATTTACTTTTAGTATACATGTTTGGAGTGTAAGCTATTTGATGATGAAGAGAAGAATCAGTACCATTGTGATGGCTGTGGGATATGTCGAATTGGTGGACGAGATAAATTCTTCCACTGTGAGACATGTAATATGTGCCTTCCTATCAAATTGAAAAATAGGCATCGGGTAAGTATGGTATACCATTTAAAATGCATAAGTTGTTCTTTCATTTCATCTTACGTAGAAAAAGCCATGGTAAGGTAAGAATATGAGGATTGTTTGTGTGAGAAAGGAGGAAGTACATATCAGAGTCTGGTACCAAATTCCTCCTCTGTGGAGTCCATATAGAGTGAGCAAATAACTTGTTGAAAACTGGCATTTGAAGATATTTCATGTAGATTTTAATCCTGAATTCTGAGTGAAATAATGTTGTTAGTATCATTGGTTTGAACAGTTTGCTGTTTGTTCTGGTAAATTATTGGTGAATATTTTGCTGGCATAGGTATGGAAAATGAAGAATAATTGGCTAACTCTTAATATTGGCATGTGAAGTGAGTGGACACATGGACCATCCAACAGTAATTGACGACGGAAAGTATGTGGATCAAAGTACGGATAGAAGCAGGATGGTTAGGATTCTGATAATTAATTATGTACATTAGTAACCATTGGTTTATGTGTTGATATATAATGGGCATGTCTACATGCTTGGTTTATGATTAAAGAGTTGTCTTTTGGTGGATAGATTGCATTATTAAAGGAAAAACCCACTTTATGAGAAATTTGTTTTTCACTGACACCAACAGCTACAAAAATTGTATTGTAATTGTTAGAGAATTAGTGGGTTTAGTTAAAACAGCTCAGTGATCACAAGAATGCAACATTCTTCAAGAGTGCTTCAATGGGAACTCTGATGTGTGTGTTGGTAGTGTGCAGCAGAGCATTCCACATGAATCAGTGGCTGTTGTTTTCTAAGGGAACAAATTATTATGTTGTTATGTATGTTCGGTAGCAAATGTGTTTATAATACTAGTATGTTTCTCTGAAAATTCTTCTAAAACACAAAACAAGTACTTGTTTTATATTCAGTCTAATGAATCTGCTGTTAGTCCCATCAATCAGTCCGTTGATCATTAACATATTGACCTACAGTTAGCTACAACTCTCAGTGGGGATTAACTGTTTGTTCATAGTGTTTTGATGTTTAAATGTTGTGCTGAATTAAACTGGCAGTTAAAATGAAATCTCTATTTCCATTCTTCATTTAGCCATTGAACTACTGCCAGTCCCATGTACTGAATGAAAACTCACAAATGAGTGGTTGAAAGGAAAGTATGCAGTTCCGTTGCTTGATTTTAATGTGGTTTTGCTTCTTGTTTTGTAGTGTGTAGAGAATGTTTCTCGTTCAAATTGTCCTGTGTGCCTTGAGGACATTCACACATCACGCATCCCTTGCCATATTCCTGAATGTGGTCATCTTCTGCACCGAACCTGCTTTGAAGAATTGCTTCAGGCAGGCCACTATGCATGTCCCACGTGCCAGACATCGCTACTTGATATGTCACAGGTATACTGTAGATACCTAAATTGTGGACTAAACAGAAAAAAAAAGAGAGAGAGGAGTTGAAGTCTCGGTTTCTAAAGTTGAAATTGTAGTTTTTGTGTGGTAAAAGAGGTCTGTATGTTCCAGCTAACTGCAAATTCTGCTTAACTTAAAAGGAAATTGGTTAATGTTCTATGAAATATTAAGGTAATTATGTTTTTCACTCTATGACATAGGTGTTTAAGCTGAGATCTCTTGAAAAGTTTTGACATAGGTGTTTAAACTGAGATCTCTTGAAAAGTTTCTTCAATACTCATGGTCACAGTAGTATGTAACAACTTTACCAGTTTTCACAGATACCTGTTCTTTTTGTATATGTCATGTCTTCAAATTCTTAAATAATCTTAATTGCACTACTTGAAAGATTCTTCGGTGATTGCTCTGTTTGTTTATTATTTTAGTATTTGGAAATTATGTGCTATAAAATTTAAGGAATGTATGATCCCTTTGAGCCGCCACGGCCACGGTGGTCTAGCGGTTAGACCGCTGGTTGGCCTTGTAATCCTGGGGTCTCGGGTTCGATTCCCGGCGGTGCCCGAATTTATAACTTGTGTTGGGCAAGGCCGTGGTCTAGGCAACACGGAGTTTTCCTCCGGGGGCTTCCCCGGTTTCTCCGTGGCATCCCAACAATTACTCCATTCACACACAGAAGAAGGCAATGGCAAACCACTTCTGGATCATCTGCCAAGAACGTATATGAACAGGTGCCAGTCCGAGAAAAGGATGGAAGGATCCTGTTCATATGGACCTGTCGTCAGACAGAACAGTAAATAAATAAATAAATAAAATGATCCCTTTCTCTATGTAGTAACTATGAACTAAAAATGTCATTTGGCTGAACGACTGCAGTGAACGTACAGTTGCGTCTTGGCTGGAGTGTATGCCTGAGAGTATGTTTATTTTTTTTTTAGCTGTGGAAATATTTGGATAATGAAATTGAAATGACACCAATGCCTCCAGAATACAAGGACTTTAAAGCCGAAATTCTGTGCAAGGATTGTCATGAGGTAGGTATTACACAGGATGTATGATACTATTATATTTTGAGTAACCCTTTTAGATGTGATGAAGTATAGGCATTTTTTCCTTCTTAAATAGATGTAACATACATAATTTAAAAGTCTCATTAATAAAACTTTACTTGCAGTGAAGATCCTGTAATTTTAATGAAAGCAATGGTATTGGGTGGCAGTAAGTGATACGTCGGTGTATTCTGTTTTGACGCTGATATGAATAAAATTATTGGGAGTGTTAGAACAACATCAGTATATACAGACTATACTGTTTAAAATGTGATGCAAAGTACAAAAATTATAACAGGAACAGGTACACTCCCGTGTAGTAGACTCTGAGACTTGTGTCATCATCAACTCTCTCTCTTTTCCCTTGGCTAGGCCACTGTTTATGCCAGTTATGTAACAGCTGTGCAGGTGTGAACAGAATTAATTCTAGAACATTAATTCACACAAATAATTTTGCTGCTGTTTGTGAAGCAGTTTGCAGTGCATTTTCTGATAGGTACCAAATATGACAATGAACTGGGATAGCTCAGTCAGTATAGTGACTAGCTACGGGCTGGATGAACGGGGTTCGATCCCCGGCAGGGGCATAGGATTTTTCCTCTAGCCTCTGCGTCTAGACCGGCTCTGGGGCCCACCCAGCCTCCTCTACAGTGGGTACCAGGGTCATTTCCCGGGGGTAAAGCCGGCCGGGTCGTGATGCTGACCACTCAGCCCCCATCCAGTGATCTAGTGCCAAGGTCAAGAATGAACAGGAGCTATGCCCCCGCTCACCCCAAGAGCCTGTACGGCATGTAGCGGGACAAACTTTTACCAAATATGACAACAGTACACCAAGTGGTAACAAAATTTGAGGATGTAGGAAGCATTTTTGGAAGAAAACTTTTCCAGCATTGCTAGTGTCTGCTTTAGGTATTATGGCCCACAATGTAAACTGCTTTACTGTGGAAGTTCAAAGGTGTGCACATTGTTCGGCATGGATTTTGCACACTGCATTTTCCAGACCTCACCCCACCAGACATATTTTCTTGGGGATTTCTGAAAGAAAGAGTTTATTCAAATAACCACAGAGCTTGGAGGTACTAAAACACAGTATTTGAACAGACTGTTACAGATATTGACCCAGAAACACTTTGGAAAGTCATGAAACACAAATAAAGGGCAGGTGCTTGTCTTTGAGAAAGTGGTGGATATTTTCAGTATCTGTAAATTCTTTCTTTCAGTGAAAACTAAAAAAAACTTGCTTGTTGTGTTATGTTGATGTCAAAAAAGTTTACAATATTGTTGTAGTTAAGAGTTACATTTTAAATTAAATATCATATATTATACACTGTCCTAAAAAGATGTATACACACACATTCAGTGAATGATAAAAAGACATTTTAATAAACTAAACTGTTACATATCAGCTTTGGAACTTTGTGAATCAACAAGTCTAGCATAACTGTACTTAATTACCACTGTTAGCTTCTTGGCATAGTTGACAGCAGTGAGCAACTAACTGACAAGCAGCCACCAAAGTTGCTTCTGGAAATAGAGTGAAAGACCATTTAATTTCTTGCCAGGGCTCGTGAAGTGTTGCTGGCTTTGTGCTGTATACTGTGTCCTTCAAGTAACCCCGCAAGAAAGTCGGGTGGGATTAAATCTGGTGATTGTGTTTTGTACCCAACAGATCCTCTCCTTCAGGGAAAGCATTATCAAGATAGGTCCTGATATTGCAATGGTAATGTGTGGGTGCCCCATTTTATTGACATCTTCATCTCCATATAGCTGACAAGTGGCAGGAACAGTGGATTGTTGAATGTGTATACATATTTTTGGGACATCGTCTTTGCGGGTGTGTGTAGATTAAGAGGGGGGAGTATATAGATGTCATGTGCTTGTGTTTTTTTGTACAGGTTAGCTGACAAGTCTTTGTACCCCTACCTTACTTAACATGTGGATCTATGTACACGTTATGTGCCATGGTACACTACCATTACACCACATGCTTTGGCGCATGTCGCGCAGAACACGTGCATCATGCTGTGTTTCGAACATGATGGTGCACATACAGATCCACTTGGTGTACAGTGGCTCTTGACACGTGGTAAGTTACGTAGGGGTACATTAACTTCTTGACCAGCCTGTTTGACATAAAAATTTTACTTCTAAAGGAGCATGAAATGAATTTGACCTTTTCTGATCAGCCCTAGAATTTATAATATTACTGATTATATTAATTTCTTTTTGCCCCCTCTAGGAATCTATAGTAAAATTCCATGTAGTAGGCTTGAAATGTATTAACTGTGGATCATACAATACATGCAGAATAAAGGGTTCTCCTAAACCGGATATTTCTGGTAAGTTTTAACATTTATAAAAAGTTTTTACAAACATTCTTGAGTGTGTAATAACTCTATAGTTAGAGAAAAGTTTATATTTAGAAATTATATTCCCACATTATAATGATGGGACTGAATTTTCAAAAACTATATAGTTTGTTCTCACTCTTATCCTCACCCTGTAAACTGTGACTGATTGACAAAGTAAAGATAAAATTAACTGTGTATCTAATGAGTTAATAATGGTGTCTTAAATGGAATATGATCTGGGTTCTTTCTTTAAAAATACTGTGATCGCTGGTTATTTACTATATTTTAGCTCAGCAGGATGGGCAAAGTGCAGCTGGAAGCTCAAGCCATTCTTCCAGTGGAGGCTCTCCTGGTGCTGGAAATGAAGACCCATGTCCGTCCTCACAGTAGACAACTTTTCTGTGCAAAAGTAACTTTCTACATATACATTTTCTTTTGTTTGTAAAAATGTTGTTGTAGGCGATGCTATAGCTATTCTTTTTCAAATTTTTAGTATAGGAGGTGACTGGTGCTAACTATCATTATAGTTATAGTTAACAATTATTGTTGATTACAGTGTGGTTCTCAACTCTCGTATCGCCCTAACTTGTATTCCTGAAATATATCACTTTTTTAATTAATTTTATGCTGTAGATTATTTATTGAACATTTGAGGGAAGAGGAATATTTAAAACTGCCCTGCCTGATAATATGACGTAAAATATATTTCTAACTACATTTCAGATCCTGTGGTCACAACAGATTGTTTTGTTGCACGTTCACTTTACAGTAAAAACACTGTAACATTTCTGAAACATTTGGATCTTTTATTAGACTTGCATTTTTAGTCATAACTATTTCAGTTTGTGTATGTGGATTGCTTGTAGCAGAAATGATGATGAGCAGACAATTTTTAGGTATATTCATCCATCTTTATACTTAATCTTCAGAAGATCTACTGTTCTGTGGTAATTTTCAACCATGACGCAGAAGATAACTTTCAGATGACGTATTAAAATTCCGTGATTTGTGACTGAATCATTAACCAATGTGTACTTTACAGTTGTAAGAACATGAAGTTTAAGATATGGTTTTGATTCCCAGTTTCCCAAAGTTCAGGAATTGTGTGTGTGCATTTAGATGTGTTCAGTAGTATCGGAATCCGCAGGTTTATCTGCTACTTTCGTGTTTCATGTAGTGAAGTGGTGGAATGGGATATTGAAATGGATAACGTATAAATTTTTGGACTGTAGCTTTGAGTAGGTGATCACAAAATTCAGTCATGAAAGAAGAGACATAAAAGGTGCTGAGAATCCATGGTGTAATGCCTACATCATCTTTTTTTTTAGGAAGTTGTTGATATTTTTTTCCCAGGCACTTTCAAATCTTTTAACCAAGTTCGGTGTTCGTATCCATGTGCTAGCTATTCCTTACTATTTGATGATGTATAAAAAGAAGTTAATAGATTAAAAATGATATAATTTTCAGTTGCTATATTTGAAATAAATTTTCTGCCATGAAGAAGAGACTTAACACGGTATGTCACAATGCTTCTTAAACTATTTGTGTAATATGTAAGGTGTGTTACTGTGGAAGACTTGACTCTGTATCAGGTGACCAGTGTAAAGATAAAATAAAACAATAGTTGTCTGTTAGGTATACTGATTTGTAATGTAGCTACATAAGATGTGAATTTGCAGTTTTAGTGTTTATATTTTTGCATTTGAGGACCATTCTGTATAACTTATTTGTGTGTATGTTTCAGTTTAGTGGTTTCAGTATAGACAACTAACTGCTTGCAGGTAGTTCAGCTTATTTCTGTGGTAATATATTAGTGTTTCACTGTTATATGTTTAACTACACATCTCTAAATCTATTCCGTATATACTCGGGGTATATTTATAACTTTTATGGTCAGTGGGAGGGAGAATAAATTATAAGCATAATTAATGGAATCCGAGGCACAGTGATTTTAAGGTACCATGTTTTATCGTAATATCTTGAGCCATCAAACAAGGAATCTTTTTAAATGAATACTGTGTTAGGGAAGAAGAGTTGCATATTTACTCTAAATATTTATAACTGTACTGAATTTTAAATTAATGAAAGTTGGTCTAGGTATAGGTCACGTCCGAAACAGTAGGCATTTTATTTCTTGAGCGTGAAGACCATGTGTGATGTGGCTAATTGGAATGTACTGGTTCAGTGTAGCTCAGGATTCATAATGAACTGAATGATGGATCTCTGATTTTGTGAATTATGACTTATTAAAACAGACTAGGTCACTGTTTCCATATTATAGAAATGTAGTTGAAGTTATAAGGGTGAAACTACTACATATTCCATCTGTTGACTAAAGTTTGTTTTTAATGTGTGAAGTGAAGCATTTTAGTTTTGATCCACACCTTGTTTTACAAATACACTGTCAATATGCTGTGATATTTGTTCATCTTTAAGTTAATTCAGGTTTTTAAATGACATTTTATGTTTTTGAGTATTGTATAATAAATACAATTTCTTAGTCATGTATGTTAACATGAAATTGCAGATTTTAAGAAATAGCTGAGAAAGCTGTTGTACATTGTTCAGTTTGTTACCTCATTTAATTTTATTCTTGTCTCTTAATAAGTCATAAATCTTGCTTTTCTGTGAATAACATTTTATCATCAGTGTGAATGAAACATTTTAATTCCTTCACCTTATTTTATTTTAAGCCCAGAGATCATTTGATTTGCAATAGGCAATTGGACAATGCAAGTGAGTATAGAAATACTTTCTGGTGCCAGTTGAATCATATAAGTAGTGTATCTGAAATATTCCCATCATTTAACAGTTTATTTTTAATTCAGGTTGTACCAGTGTGACACCAAAGTGTTCACAATAATCTCTGTTTCAAAAGTGAAGTGTGGAATGATCAGTACATTAATTACAGCTATGAATGAGTCAGATAATGAGTAGAATTGCATATTCAGGCTTGAAGTTAGTGTTTTGTAATAATGAACCTGAGTGGCATTCACATCATTCTCAGCAAACCAATAGCAAGTTCCTGGCACTAAACCATATTGCTTTTAAGACTCATCACCAAATATATGTATATTTCCAATTTAATTGCTGTAGATCACCATTTACCATCTTATGAACAGCGTTATCATTCAGTTGCTAATTATATTAAACAATGAAAGGCCTGAAAATGAGTCTCTTTAACATGAAATGCTGTGGAAGGTCTCATATTGAGTGAACCCATATACTAAAGTGCTGGTGGAGCTTTAAGACTAATAGGGATACTTCACACACAGTCAATGTATGGCTTTTGGGTCATCTTGGTGCAGATGAGCATCAGTACAACAGACCTGCAATTGATGAAATGAGTTGTATGGCAAATGCCAGGGTATAATTCAAGAAGGGCACGACCCGCCACTCCGATCAAGGAGGCCTTCAGCTGAAGTGATTTCCTCCCCCAGCTGCAGAGGACGAAGCGGCCCCACCATCTCTGGGTTCAAACACCTGAGAACCAACAAACCAAATTCTTTTGGGCAAGTTGCCTGATGTGATGACCTCCCATCAACAGCAACAGAACCCCGTTAGCGTAAGCAAATTCCCATTACAGTTATAACATTTCCAGCAATGCGTTTCGTACGCAGGAATGGTGTTACTTAGCAAGGGACGATATCTTGCTCTTGAGATTTTAGGTTGGTCTGTGAGTCGTAAATATGAGATACGTTTCTTGAAGTATGGCTGGTACATAAAGGATTGTCGGCGAGCCACTTTTATTCCTGAAATATATCACTTTTTTAATAATTTTATGCTGTAGATTATTTATTTATTGAACATTTGAGGGAAGAGGAATATTTAAAACTGCCCTGCCTGATAATGTGACATAAAATATATTTCTAACTACATTCCAGATCCTGTGGTCACAACAGATTGTTTGTTGCACGTTCACTTTACAGTAAAACCACTGTAACATTTCTGAAACACTTGGATCTTTTATTAGACTTGCATATAAATCAGTGCATTTATAGTCATAACTATTTCAGTATATGTATGTGGATTGTTTGTAGTAAAAATGATGATGAGCAGACAATTTTTAGGTATATGCTATATCAAATTCTCCTCTGGTGAAGCCGCTACAGTCGAAGTGCTGCCATCTCTGACAGTGCTCGCATTCTATGGAGTTGTTGTTGTCTTTGGTCGTGGTTCTTAAAACTGAAGTCTATGCTCTTTGATTGTTTCTTAGGGAAGTGTACTTCACCAGCGCATGCGCAGAACCCACTTTCCGCTCTGTCCCACAAGCAACGGCTGAGAAGGTAGCGTCTAGTGTTTGGGTGATTGCCAGTTATTATTTTCCAGGTTTGATTACTTTATTGTAGATTTGTTAAAATAGTTTCCTGTTATATGTATAGAGGTGAGACGGCAGTATAAAATCATAATTTTTTAAAATTAGTATAATTTTTACACACTTTAAAACCGTGCAGAACAATTACTGCTTTTATTCTCCTTGGAATATATTGCGTGATAGTAATTTTTTACATCTTAAAGGAACTCTGTTGCACATTTACTTAATCCAATTTTGTAGAATAGAATTGAATTTATTTGCATTCTGTAGATCGTTTATAGGTCTAACCCAAGTATGTATGTCTTAGCATAAATACAATACTAGTTGAAGATGGCTGTCTTCTCGGTTGCATTGTGTACAACCCAGAAAACCGCCAACTTAACCCTCCAGGACTCGCGTTGTGAGCGCGGCACCGCATTTTCAGTAAATGTCTGATAACTCTTTCTAGGAATTGTTTTCTCTCCTGTCACTTTTATCTATGTTAAGAGGAAACCCCCTTCCATGGGAATTTCAAAGGAAATATTTCTAGCTACGACTATAGACCCACTTTTTTAAGTTTACTTTTAGAATTCTAATGGTGCGTCGGCCTGCTCACACGCGAGTCTTCTTTATTGGTCACGTTTACCAATAATGGCTTCTAAAACAAGATCTTCTGATCCAAATGTTTGGTTGAAGTGGTTATTAGAAGAAGAAGAAGAACGTGAAAGAGAACAAGTGAGTGCAGGAGAAATTATAGATTGTGAATCCGATGATAATCAGGATTCTGATGAACCACGAGAGGAGGATCACGGTAGTCAATCAGAAAACTCGGCTGAAAGTTTAGATGAAGATTCCAATGCAGGAATAAGTGATCTTTATCTTGGCATAGATAAAATGACTAAATTTCGAAAAGTTTCCCTGCGAAAAAGTAAAAATGTCGCACCTTCATGTGGTCAAAGGATGGGCAAAAAACTCAAAAACCGAGATAGAGTGCAGGCAGCTACTTTTTTAGATAATTTATTGGGTATCACAAAATTCACAAATAAAAAACTGGTTAAAATTAGAGAAAATTATTCTAGGCAAAGAGACTGCTTAGAAACTTCAATCGATGAAATCTAAGATTCAATTGGACTTTTATACAATGTTTTAACATTTTATTAGTCTCTTAATCGTAACACCATAAATAAATTAAAAGTCAGTAAAAGTATTTGCTCAATTGATGGGTTGCAGCGCTCGCACGCGAGTCGGGACGTTCCAAGGGTGGACACAGAGCGCTGGAGGGTTAAACCAACTTGTCATTTAAACTATGCTAGCCCTTTGCTTCATTCAGATTGTGTTCGGGAGATATTTGATAGTTGTGCCTGAAGGTTTAGTCACCAATACCAGAGCCCACCATTGTTGGATACAGTCCTGAGCCATTTACACCCACTTACTATCCTCAGTCCAGCTTTGTAAGAGGCATCTTAATATTTTCTTCCCATTACCTTATCAGCCTTCCAAATTGATGTTTACTAAGTGTTTTCTTCACAGAAATTCAGTGAGAATTCTATAGATTTCCATTTAAAGCCATAAACCCAGCTCATTGTAGGATTTTAGATTTCATTGATCTAAAAATGGCATTTGACCTGTATCTCATGTGAAATTGCTCGCTCACTTTGGCCTTCACATATCCCGATATGTTTGTGATGACTTTCTAACAAGTTAACATTTTAACAGTGTTTATGGTTATCATGTAAATTATTTTGTTGATTGACTAGAAGTAAATGTGGAAATTGCATATCTGTATATTCTTTAAACTGTTCCTTAGGAAATAAAACCTATTAAAAATTTCATATATCTAATGAGAATTGAGTCAGGTGGGCCTGTGTAAAGGAGTACTGATGTGATGAACATGTTGGAGATGCAGTGTGCAGTATCCTGAAATATTTAAAATTTGAGTTTTAGCTACACGTGTATTTTATGAGTAATTGTTTAGATGTGGTTTCTTGGTTTGGATATAAGGGAGGATGTAACAGCAGAAAGAAAATTGTATCTTATTTCTAGGATAATTTGTTCAAGAAGTGCGGTTTATATAAGACAGGTATTATGCATGTAAGTTGTGTTGAAAAAGTCAATGAACTCTCACCTGCTCAAGGAAGACTGTGAAATTAAGTTTGTTCCATCATTATGAAATCATCTAAGAAGTAAAGATATAGTTCTCACATGTTACTGATTCTGATGTTTACATGTTTGTTATTTAATGTAGGTCATTTTTAAAAATGAATGTGAGTGGAGCTTTACGTGAACAAAAGAGAGAATCTGAGAACTCTGGCAAACCAGGGAAGAGAATGCAAGAATCAGATGATGTACAAAGCATCTCAAAGAAACTCCGAAGAGATGCTGACATTAGTTTTAGTGGATGCACATCAAATGTGAGTTTTCTGTAAGTGGCGTGTATGTGCACTCATGCCTGCACATGTCTGAATATATTGTCCTTATTTATAGGCACATGTTACTAAATATAAGTCATGTATGAACATTTTAAGAATTTGCATCTTGGAGTTCCACTTTTATCAAATGACAAAACCAAGAAGTCAATCTAACTCTGTACATTATAAGAGCCCCTGAAGATTGATTATTATAAGTGTGATGAAAAATGCTTTGTGCGTAGACCATGTTGATTAATACATGTCAGACTTTGCAACTTAACTAGCATGGTTCTAGTGCTCAGGGACATATTTGCCTCATTTGTACAGTTTACTGCAATTAATTTTATTTTAAAAATATACTGACATTACAGGAACCCAAATGTGGTATCATAGAAAGAATATACATGCGAAATTTCATGTGTCATTCATCGATGGAGATCTGTCTAAACCCAAGAATAAATTTTGTTGTTGGGAGGAATGGCAGTGGAAAAAGTGCGATTCTTACTGCTCTTATAGTTGGTTTGGGAGGCAAAGCAAGTTCTACCAACAGAGGAGCCTCTTTGAAAGGTAACATATTGTAACAAGTTGCTAAGATCTTGTGCTTATCTATCTTGAATTTAGTCCAGTCTGGAATACTGACTATCATTTTTCAAGGTCATTTCAGTACCAGTCTCAGTGTACAGTTCACACAGGTAATGAACTGAAATTTGTCATATCTATCTTCCCTTTAAACTAATCTCCCAGTACATAATTTATGTTATTAAATTTCTTTAATCTGATTATATAAAATATACACATTTTGATTCATAGTGTGTACATGTATGAGCTAGGTAAGTATTTGGACAGATATGCAGATAAGATATAGCATATTGTGCACTGGATCTTCTCCTGCCATGACTTACCATTCCTGCAGCATTGTAAAAAATTATACCATTGGTATATATTGCCAATCCATTTAGTAGATTTTGTAAGATGGTGATGTTTAATATCAAGCCCAAGTGACTGAATTAGAGAATTCTTGTGAAAGATACTCTGTTTACCTAATATTGAATGAACAGTGGATTTGGTCCAAAACTTTAATTTTATTTCATATGATATAGGAAGGAAGATTCAGTGTGTGCGTGTCTCAGAATTTTAGAATTGTTCCTATTTGTTCCAGAATTTATAAAGAAGGGTTCAAATACTGCTACAATTGAGATAACGTTGAGAAATACAGGTCATTATAATTATAAGAGAGAAGAATATGGTGACCGTATCATCGTATTGAGAAGCATAAGTAATTCGACTGCTCAGTGCTACTACAGAGTAAAGACAGGACAAGGTACTGGGCTTTCTTTCCCTCTGCTTTTCCTTCATCTTGTATATTGGATGCTCTCTATTAGCCTCAACAAGAAATTTGTTATCTTTAAACAATTATTTTTTCATAAATAAAATATGACTTGTCCCCCTCCTGTTTGTATGTGTTTTTTAAGAGGGCATTGTTCAACATTAGTCACAGTTTTACCATGTACACTGATAATGTGTAAAGGTCTGTTTCATCATATTTGTTACAAATATATTCTATTTTTGGCTATTTAAAAAGATCCACAGATTACAGGCCCATTTTAATTGAAATTGTGTAAAAGTGTCATGTTGGGCTTCTGCTTTTCTGAGCGTCCTGTTCGTCTTCCTCCATATACAGCATTATATAGTAAGTTTCAGTTTATTTCAACTCATATTTCTTTATGTATTGAATTAGTAACGTGGCTGAAGGTTGGTTTACAAAATTTATATACTGTAGTCCATTCAAACTAATAATCTTGATTGATTCTACTACTATTACAAAATTTACAGCTTTTAAATATTGAAGTTTTCTTTAAGTGGCACATTGCCTATTCTTTCATCTACATTAAATTGGCAGCAGGTCCCGACCGTCTCGATAAAATAGTTTGTTTGGAAGAGCAATTGGTTACATTTCTAATTTGTTTCCTGTTGCAGGTGAAGTAATTTCCAGCAAAAAAGAAGAACTGGACAGAATTGTTTCAGCATTCAACATACAAATTGAAAATCCTGTAACAATTATGAATCAGGATACTGCACGGACATTCCTAAACAGCAGCAATTCTCATGAGAAGTACAACTTATTTATGAAAGCGACGCAACTAGAACAGATAAAGCAGACATATGCAGAGTCCATGTTGGATAAACGAACAGCCACTGCCCTTTTAAACTCTAGGAAAGAGGTTATTCTGTTCAAATGTTGATTGTTTGCAATAGAATGAGTTTTATGTTACAACTTTTTACAATTCAGCGTCGTTTTCTCTTTAAATTATTAAATTGTATAATGCAGATTTTAGAAGTTAAAAATGAATAGTATATTCTTACAGTTTTTAATTTCAAAAAATCTTTGTTTATTTCTAGGCAATTATAGTAGCAGAAAATAAAGTAACTGAATTGCAACTCAAATGGAAGAAGGTGCAGTCACTCGGCAACTACCGGAAAAAGTCGTTGGAGCTGGAAAATGAGTTGTACTGGGCTGTTGTAAGTTGTTTTATTTTGTGCGCTAACAGTGAACAGGTGTAGAGCAGGTCTCCAGGAAGCTATTTAATTTGTGTGTTTCATATCTGATGGGATTTATATTCATATAATTATTAAATCTATTTTAAAGCATAATGTAAAATGATGAGTTAATTTTGTACTCAAGTTACTAAATATTGGTCTTTTAGGTTGTAAATCCATGTGGATTTGTAAGTAAATACCAACATTTCTGAGGAACATCCTGCTTCCATCTTTAGGGCTGAAAATATTGAGGCAGTATGTTCCTCTGAACTGTTGGTATCTATAAGTCCTACCAGTGTTCCAACCGAAAAGAGCGATATTCACCACCATGAGAACGTAATATCTAATTCAGAGAAAAAGATTTTTATGCTATCTGATAACTTTATTTATAAGGTTATTTTGTTTTGAAAAGTGTCTATGCTTCATGCCACTTTATATCGCAAGTCGGATACAATATTCCATTGTGACTGGATGGGATCAGCTGAAACTGAATACACATTCACATTCGTGGCGTAACAGCTCCAGAGAACCAAAGCCGACTAGCTTGACTGCTGGCCTCACGTTCACATGCCTAAGCAGAGGTGAACGATCATCCAACCAGATATAGGGTGACATGTGGTCAGCACGACGAACCCCCAGCCATTGCTAGTTTTCATGACCGGTTTACGCTATTCATTGTAGCTCCCCAATTTCCTCACGATGCTGGGTTGGCACCGGTCCCATACACAGTCGAAAGCTCATGAGAAAATTTCTTTTCCCCCCGAGACTTGAACCAGCGCGCGCACAAACCTACATAAATTCACGATAATTATGGAAAATATAACATCTGGTATCCAAAATTTTTCTTTTGCCTGTTTGTTGTTTGTTTGTATCACACCTAAAACATTTTCCACAGGCTTTCATTGCATTTTTGTTGGAATAACATTTCTTAACAATCTTTGAGTTTAGTAAAATTGTTTTATGCATTATTTAATGGTCTGATTTATGTTACTGAAAGGCTGTCTCAGAAGAGAAAGCTGCAGATAAACTGGAGCAAGAAATTGAAAGTCGGAGGGCTGAGTATTCGGATTTGCAACGTGGTGTTACAAAGGAAAGTGAGCAAGAGCAAATGCTGCATCTTCATTCAAAGTAAGAGTACAGAATTAATTGCTGGTTTTAGCGACAGCCTATAACTTTCATGAATATTTCTGTGACAGTTTGGGTTGAGAAATCATTACTTAAAAAATACAGTATCAACTAAATTACGTGTTTGGATGATATTTGTTTGTAGCTGAAGATTTGCACTAAATAGCGAGTTCATGTGACGTGTCTATAATACATCTCTTGTCTAGAGAACAGCATTTCAGGCTGATAATAATTTTGAGTCATTTGGAATTCTCCGTGCTTTTGTCAGAATACAAAATTATTTCAGTAGTAGTAGTATTACAAGCTTAATGAAGAGGGTGGAGGAAAGAAAATTGAGAAAACTTATTTTTGTTTAAAAATATTTATAATCTTGTACATTTGCAGTAGAAATATTATTGCCATATTTGTTAAACTGTAGGATTATTTATTCTGGAAAATTCACTGTTGCCATTCCATTTGTTGCATCCTTATATCACTGAAGTTGAAATCATTACTTTGTTTATTAACTGCCTAAGTAATATTATCGTCTTTCCTATACTTATTTTTAATATATCCAATTTTACCCAAATATAAAAATGTATGACAAAACTTAAATATCTTTATTGTAACTTCATGTAATAATACGCAATCTGATACACAGTTCATTCTCCGGCTTTTGTGCAGCAACTGTTGCTTTCTGACCTGGAAGCGCAAGATATTAAAATACTGTCTGTATCCACAGTTGTTTATTTTTCCCACAGGAAAGTGGATCAGCAAATAAGTGAGATGAAGCATAGGTTTGCCGAATGTGAAGCTGAGTATAAGGGAAGTAGAGAGGAAGTAAAACGTACCAAAGAAAATTATACACAGAAAGAGAGAGAGTGTAAGACTCTTGAGCTGAAAATTCTTCGAATAGAGGCCAATATTAACGTGCTTCGTCAAGAAATAGAGAAGGTAGAAGAAAAGTGAGTCATCATAATGTTTTCCCAGCTCTAACACTTTGTGTCTTTTAATTTAGTAGAATGTAGTAAAATTAAAATTGTAGTAACATCTCATTTAACGTTGAAGTATTTGGAAAAATGTGACAGCACACTCATCTTCTGAATTGAAAGGACAAAGGTTTAATATTAATTCCTTCACTGCCCGGCATTTAAGTGCCATTTCAATCTCTTGAGCCTAGAAGGCATTGTGGAAAATTACTGACGCGAACGATTTCATTCTTAAAATTAAGTGCTTCCTTCAAATACATTTTCAAAGTTGATAAATATTCTTATTTCCGATAGGTTGTCGTTTGTTATGTCGAGAGATTGTCGTAGTTGCCGAATCTTCTGTGGCAAAAACCAAAACCATACTCAGGATATCTTTATTCCCTTTAGAGTTCACTTGAAAGAAAATTGTAATTTTTGGAATTCAATGTGTTAACTTCGTTTGTGACTATTTTTGACCCACTTGAAATTGTAAGTACCCTAATAGCTAATTTTCTGATAGATGATTGTTATTAGCTGTTTAAAGAATCTTGTACTGATACAAATACCATAGGGTCATCACCATCACAACAAAAACCTGGATACTTTCATCTTTTGTCTTTTACATACTATTTCCAGTTTAGTTTAAATTTTTGCCAGAAAAACTAATTTTCATGATATGAGTTAAACACTGATGAATAGCACCTGTACATAATCATTGAAAGTGTTGGTGTTACCTTTTATCTGCACATTGGTTTTTAATTAGTTTCCCTTCTAGTGCCAATGTAATAACAAGTGAAATCATTCTTAATGTGAAAGAGTTATGCTGTGAGTAATAGACAGAACAGTTCTGCACGGCTTTAGTGTGCTCTGATATTGATCTTTCTTTGCTATTGGTCACCATATTGATGAAGATTTCTGTCTTCTGGGTTGTTGCGCTGTGTAGTCTGGTCGATGTTAACCAACGTTTCAGAGGTCATACTGCCTCCGTCATCAGGGCAATGAAACTGTAAACATCGACCAGACTACACAGCGCAACAACCCAGAAGACAGAGAGCTTCATACTCACTGCCGCGAAAACCTCACATCTTACACATTGATGTAGTTGAGGCGAATTATAACGGCAGTCTTAGTTTTGATCTTTTTTTAATTTTTGTGTTAGGGAAGTTATATTGAAATGTTTGGGGACAAAATTTTAGGGGTTTAAACACTTACAGTATGATGGGAAAGGAATAGGGAATAGTAACTGCTGTTTTCTCATATATATAGTTCTGGTGGAGACCGTGTTGCTAGACAGCAGAAAAATCGTCTTGAAATTCAGGAACTGGAGAAAAAACTTGCAGATGTTGCGGTTACACTCAAAACAAACAAACATCACTATTCCCAGTTGAATTCTAATTTGGAAAAAATTAAGAGTGAAGAATTCTCTCTGAGGCAGGAACTTCAAGAGCAGACGAGGAAGATTGGTATGTGAATTTTTCAGTTTCCTTATGTTTTTAATTCTGTTATAAGTAAAGATATTAATGATCCAGTTTTCTGTAGGAGTACAGAGATTGTTTTTGAAGGGGTGAATGGCACATTAGAACAGGCATTTGACTGCTTGCCTCTTTCAAGTGAAGTCTCGGTATTGAAAGAGCATGGCAACATCATTGTAGGGGACCCTTCTTCCTTTTGAATGTATTACAGTTGTTATATACAATGTTTGATATCCTTTGTGCCTTTTGTAAGTGCATTCTACATTTTGAAGTAACTGACTTGAACATTTTCTGGCACAATACTGTGTATGCCAAACATTTACAAGATGGTGCAAAAATTACTTCTTTTTAAATGATAAATGTGGATGCCTTTACAGTTATGAAAAAACATACAACTTGTGTAGAATATAAGTATGCATGCAGAAAGATTTATTCAGTTCAGTTGAATTGCTATACAAAAAAATCCATTTTGAATATACAAAGTAGTAATTTATGTATAATTCAGTAATATTTTTTATTAGAATTGGTGTTGAGTACAGCTGTTTTGTTGGAAAGCATCCTTCTTGTGCCACCCTTTATAGAGGGTATCACTTAAGCTGCCCATCCATGTACGAGTCCGGCTCGGGTTCCATTGAGCCAAACTCGTTTGTGGGTGGGGTGTCACGAGCCGAGTCTGCTATGTGTGTGTGGTGAAATATATCCGAGCCCGGCTCACGAGTCAAGCTCGCTGAGTCGGACTCGTACGTAGATGGGCCCCTTTAAAGGTCTGCCACAAATTTAAGGGTACACAATTTTGAAAAGTGTAAAATGTTTGTATGGACATTGGTCTAGAAAAACCTCTGATTTTTATTATAAGTAGGTAGAAATAGTACCTAATGTCACCCAAAGAGGCAGCTTTCCAGCCATGAAAAGTGTGCCGCCAGATTTATGTTTGTTTCCAATAATTTCCGTTTGAGCTAGGATTATAATTACAGTTTTTAATTACAGAACAAAAGCAGACAGAATTACAGGCATTGAAGAGAGAGAAAGACAATTCAGTAACGTTATTCGGTGCTTGGGTGCCACGTGTATCACAGAAGATTGATGAAGCATTCAAGCAAAGAAAATTTGGAAAGATGCCCAAAGGACCTGTTGGTATGTAGAGCAGTACATACACTTATTGAACATTCCTATAAACTGATATCTGTGTTTAATAAAAGCATCTCAGGACCTAATATATTGTTCTTATTTTTACAGGTGCATATATAAAATTGAAAGATGCTTCTTGGGCGCCAGCACTTGAATCGTTCCTAGGATCATTCTTGAGATCATACTGTGTAGATTCTGCACGTGATGCTCAAGTACTTATGCAGATTTTTAATGACGTGCTGGGTAAAGAACGTAAACCTGCAATAATAACTAGCAGGTTCTTTGATAAGGTTGGTTCTTGTACTTGCGTGAACTAAAACTTGAGACAACCCTATATGATGGAATATTTAAGTTGCCATATCACAATTAGCAGTTATAAAAAACTAAGTCTTTCAGACCATACCAAATACTGCAGGATATTTTCTAAAATTAGTCATAAAGGATGCCCTAAGTTGTTGCATTATACACTTTCTGAGCGTGTGCGATAATGACGTGATGTACGTATCTTCTATGCTGAGAGTTGAAGGAAGGGATTATGTCCATGTGAAGTACTTGTAGACTGAAATGTTTTAGGATGTCTCGTGGCACCCTTTGGTATTTGGCATTGCACCTTCTGGGATTGTTTCCACATAGTTCATTTCTTCTGTGTACTACATATTTTAATCAATAATCTTGGGTTCCACAGTGGCCGCACTGTCTGAGGCTTGGGCCTTGTGCCACTTGGTCGCAGGGACCGTGGGTTCGAATCCCACTCAAGCCATGGATGTTTTTCTGTGTTATGCTGTCCTGTAAATAGGTAGAGGCCTTGCGACAGGCCAATCCCTCATCCAAGGAGTCCTACCGAATGTTCTTAGATCAAGCCAACTAAAAAAAGTTAGGGACCCGTAAAGGGTATCAGAAAATATACAAACATTGTTAAGCTGGAAAAAGAAGAAGAATCAAAATTCTCTTATTCCTTCCTTACACTGGAGTCTGTCTTAATTTATGTCCTAATCTGGATCTCTGGTCCATACATTTTGCATCGATGAAAACCATGTTTTAAGCTCTTGTTATTCCAGTGTGAAGTGTATACTTTTGTAATTTTCAGGTTCACAATGTCAGTAAGTTTGCAGTAAAAGCAGATGGCTACTCTAGCATATTGGATTCTGTTGTAGTCCAAGACACAGTTGTTTGCAACTGTCTTATAGATCAGTGGGAAGTAGAGAATATTCTACTGATTCCCACCAGCAGAGAGGCCTGTGACACGATGAGTGATGCCAGGCGAGTGCCCTTGAACTGCAAACGAGCAGTTACAAAAAAGGGGGATCTGTTCTATCCTGACCCAAATTACAGGATGTATTCTGGAAATGGAAGTACTAGAGCAAAGTACTTCCAAGTTAGCATGGCAGATGCTATTAGGTGTGTATGAAGCCTTACCCATTAGAATTTGCAGAAAAGCCTTTCACTTATGAACGCACAATATTTTGTATAGTAGAAATAATTCTGTGTAAGCGTTTGACATATTCAGGTCCATTGATAAATATAAATGATTCCAGGGCAAGAGAATAAGGTGGAAGCGTTTATTAAATATAAAGCAAAATGTAGTTGGATACTTGTCTTTTCATGTTGAACATTGCAATTACTACTTTTTCTTGTCTTCTTGAATAGTGTAAAAATCTGTTATATGTACAAAGTATATGCCACACTACAGCGTTGTTTTTTTTTATCATACGGCTTCTGCCTATTTTCCAAATCGTGAAGGCGTCTGTTTATATAGTGGTGGCGCTTATGAGGCAGACTCCACTACCCATAATATTAGAATGACGATGGTCAGCAAATTGGATGTATTGCTTAGTGCGGGCTCTGAATCATTGTGAGAACATGGCATTCCTCACATTAATAAAATGTTATCTTTGTCAGAAGTGAAAGAAGGGCAGTGCATGTAAAAAGTGATCTGCTGAACTTAGCCAGTTGTGTATCTGAAATCTTTGGTATACAGTGTGTCCACAAAGTCCCTTCTGGGTTATTGAAAAATTGTGGCATGCAAACAAATTTTGCTAGCCACATACGGTTTGAGGCAGATTACAGTGAAACTCTGGAAGTTTTTTACTGACCTCAGTAGACCTCGATGTGGGCTCCCTAGGTAGCACGGAGAATATCCAGACGATATTCAAGCTCTTGCAGTGTTCTGTGGAGCATGTCCGCTGGAATGGCCGAGATCGCATTCCTGATATGGGTCTTCAGGTCATTAAGTCTTAACTGGTGTTTGGAACACATTGCTCTTGACATAACCCCACAGGAAAAAATGCATTGGTGTTATGTCATAGTGAACGTGGAAGCCAAGGCGTTGAACGGTCTCTGCCGATCCATCTTCCTGGAAATGTCCTGTCTCGGTACGCGCGTACCTGCAGACCCCAATGAGGTGAAGCACCATATTCCAGAGTTTCACTGTAATCTGCCTCATACCACATGTGGCTAGCTCAATTTGTTTGCCCGCCACAATTTTCAAAACCCCGAAGGTACTTTGTGGACACACTGCATTTATGCACTCACACACACCTAACACATATGCTGCCATTTATTGGCAGAATTTCATGTACTTATTGAAAAATGCTGCATTGAACTTTTAAGCTCTGTTGGTTTTGAATGAAAACAGGTTGACTACAGTGAAACCTCGATGCATCGTTTTCGGCGGGGGTGGGAAATAAAAACGATGAATGCGGGAAAACGATAGATGCGGGAAAGCATTAAAAATTTTAAAAAAACAATGTTTCTCTTTCAAAGTTACTTCTTTTTACCAAAAAAGTCTTTAATGGACAACTGGTTTGTCGAAACTTTACGTTTTAGGCCAAACAGTGCCTTTTCCACGTTCAAAATGTTTTCTTTGTCACTTTCACTAATATTATGCGCATAAAAGAACGACTTCACTTTTGCCAATGCAGCGTGTGCTTCGGCAAAGTTCGGGCTCGCATTCGTCGTTTCTCCCTCTTCCTCACCGCTCCCTCAACCTTCGCGGACTATAACAGGAAAAATGGAAGTACTATTACTGCCGAACTCAACGAAACGTAGCTGTAGAAGACACGATATGAACCAGAAGAATGAAAAAGTTTCGCTCGCCTTTCCTTTGTACTTATAATAAAAGCATTTGTGAAGAAATTCACACTGCACATGCCATCTGGCATCGCTGGAACGAAATATGAGTGCACCCAAATTAAAATCGTAAAATTTCTGACAATGAGCACCGCCATTCACTCCAACTATCACCCCTGCACCGCTGACCCTCATTCCAAAAGAATGTGCTGGTTGGGCGACATAACAGGTTACCGCTACTGCGTATTCCAAAAACATTGTGCGTCTTTCGGAATTAAATTCTAAAAATATCACGTAAATTTCGTTACAATTTCTCAGAAACGATCATTGCGGGAAAATTGTGTGCTGGGACTAAGATTTTTTAAGGATCGATGCGATAAAACGATAGTTCGAGGAACGATAGAAGCGGGAAAATGTAACATTATTTTATATGGGATGTATTCGGGACCGAACAAAACGGACGATGCATCCGGGAAAACGATAGTTCCAGGAACGATGGATAGAGGTTTCACTGTAGATCAGTTGGTGGTATGTAAAAGATTAATGGAAACTTCTTCGCCATTCTTATACAGTACAGCAGAAGAAGATCTTAAGGCTTTCCATTTTCAGAAGAAAGTGGTGGAGAAACAATTCACTGCGATTAGGAAACAGTTGAAGGCTAACTATGATGAATTCAATGTTGCGGGCTCTTCGGTAAGGAAGATGAGCAATGAAGAACATTCTCTCCAGTTGAAGCTCACAAAGTTGAAGGATATGGATGAGCCCAACTTGAATAGTATTGATACTCTTGTAAGTATGTTTTGTTCTTTAACTGTTAAATTTGTCTTTCAGTTTTGTCATGATTATTTTGTATTGAGTATGCAAGAAGAAAATCTTTAAGACTGAAACAAAACTTTGTAATACTTGAAATTTGGTTACTTCTGTATTTGACTTTGACCATTAATATGACTGGAAAATTTTCATTGTTGACAGACTGCTGAATTGGAAGAATATGAGACACAATATGCTGACAAATGTAAGCAGCGTGATACGTTGGAAGCAGAATGTCAGCTGCTAAAAGATGAGATGGACAAAGCTGACCTAAAATCATCCCAAATTCGGGACACCATAAAAGACATGCAAACTGAAGAATGCCCTCTTCTGGTAAATATTTTGATCTTTTTACTGTAATACACTTCATTGAGTTTGAAATTACATGGCTTAGGGCTGAATTTATTTACATAATTCTTTCCTCCTTTATATTGCAATAAATTTTATATTTTTACCAAGCCCGTCTCCATTCTGGGTGAATGAATTTTGAGGAAACTGGCATATCTTTTAAAAAAATTACATTTATTTAGAGTAGATTATATTGTACATACTGTGTTAATTTACGTTAAAGTCTGGATATGCTTTTAACGTGTCAGTAAATAGTAAGCAGTTCATTTATATCATTCCCTGATGGAGGCTGAGAATGTCTGAAACGTTGGACTATGGGTGCAGTTTGTTGCCCAAGAGGATTTTATTGCATATAGTAACTGCTAAAGTCACAAGTCTTCATTGATAGTTTTATTTAACATTTTGTTTTTTCATGTGTCTGTAATCGTGTATGTGATATTTATTTATGGCAATATATAGTTTCACTTCCCCATTTTGTGGTGTGCCATCATGTATCTTTGACACTGATCTAGAGCAGTGTTATTCAACCTTTTCTGTTCGTGTACCCCCAGATATAATTTCTCTTCAACTTTGTACCCCAAAGTTGTTGGTGTATAATTCAAGTTATACATAGTATATAATCTACATCTAAAATAAATTACTTCCAAAATAATGTGTTTAATAATAAGTTTTAAATGAGAAAAAGGAGAGCTATTGCATAACAAATATATTATTGCCTATCATATAAAAATTAATAAAGGGACAGGTATTTTAGCAAAGCAAAATTATATGCATAAATCCCACCCAATAGTGTTCAGTCAGGTTCCAAAGCGCTATGTGGAATAAAATGAAACTAGCCGCCCAGATAATAATTGCATAAAGGAGAGAGAGTGAAATGGCGCCCCCAAATCAAATGTCCGGTTCTCCTGTGGCTAACCCTAAATCTGGCCCTGATTATTCAGTGTTTATCATAAAATAATATTTTTTTTTTAAATTTCACCTACTCCCTAAGATGTCTTTGTGTACCACCAGGGGTATGCGTACCCCAGGTTGAAGACCACTGATCTAGAGTACCAAGAATATTTACTGGTCTTGTCATTTTAAGCTTTCATCCCTGTTTTTAATATTTTACGATTTCTTCACATTAACTGTACTGGTTTTAATTGTGTATGAAAATTAAAGTTAATTAGTTTACATTCTTCTTCCAGTATTTTCATTTTATGGATTGGTGGGTGGATTTGTATATTTTACTTATGCAGGACATCTCATGATAATATTTCTGTTTGACTATGAATGAAATAATTTCAGGCTAAGAGAGAGACCATGCTGAGTGACTTAAGGGAGATCTTATCAAAAAAGAAATTTCAAGAGGAAAAGTGTAATGAGTTTCATAAAAAGATATTACAGTTGCAAACTCAACTTCACAGCCAGCAAGAACGTGCTAAGAAGGCTGTAAATGATGCAGCAAAAATTTGCCCAAGAATTGATACAGAAAGGTAATTTTAATACCTTCAGCTCAGAATTAGATCCAAAAGTTCTTCTCCTATGGCTCTCAGGTCCATGGCCTCCTCAATTCTCCTCTGTAAGGTCCGTCCGTCTGAGGCTTTGATCGAGGTTTCGAAACATCTTCCTTTTTACGGTGCAAGGTTGTAAGCCTTGCGACCAACCCCCAACCTAGAGAACCATTGTACCTGTCATAGTCTGACCTCTCCCCCTCAACACACTTATTGCACTTGGTTTACCCAGTGGTTATACTTCAATTCAGAATCGAGGTTTAATTATGTGTTGTCTTGTATGATGTAATCTGTTATGTATTTTTACAGAATTCCAGTAGTAGTTGAAAAGGAGTTGAATGAATGTAAGAAATACATGGAAAGTGTAGAAGAGCATACTGGAAAACACGAGGAAATTTGTGTTTCATACCATGAGAGGAAAACGAAATATGAACAGATAGTGGAAGACATGAAGAATTTAGAGCAAGGGTTAACAGTATGTAGAAAATTCCTCAGTAGTATATATCAGACTGTATCATTAATGTATTCTATCTTAGAATTTTAAGGTTGTAAGAGGAGCAGAACAAATGAGGAATCACATTCTGCCCACAAAATTTGAGGTGAGTGAAAGTTACATCTGAGACTGAAGTAAATGAAAGTTTATGTTTACAACATAGCGGTCACTAATGGGCTCTTAATGTGCAACAAGTAAACTTTCCTGAGGTAGAACAAAAGCTTTTTTGTTCACTTTTTTAAATGAAAGGCAGTAGTTTTGTTATGCGGTATCAAGTGAATGTGCTAATTGAAGGCACTAGAATCACAAAATAAGTTGAAATTCAGGGCTTCATCAAGCCGAGGTTAGTTGCATGCATTCTTTAAGAGAAACAATTTCCATTTAAGGTTATGAGCCGGGATTGCTCAGTCAGTATAGTGACTAGCTACGGGCTGGACGACCGGGGTTCGATCCCCGATGGGGGCAGAGGACTTTTCCTCTAGCCTCTGTGTCCAGACAGGCTCTGGGGCCCACCCAGCCTTCTCTACAATGGGTACCGGGGGTAAAGCCAGCCACGGCGTGATGCTGACTACTCATCCCCATCTAGTGCTGAGGTCAAGAAAGAGAGGAGCTATACCTCCACTCCCCAAGCACCTGTATGGCACGTAGCGGGACAAACTTTAGTTCATATACACAGTGTATGAGCAATCTGAGCATTGTATATTCAAAGTAGCTTTCTCCTGCATCTACACACTGAAGGTCATCATACATTGCCGCCATTTGAGAACGTAGTGTGAGCTGAAGTAGAAGTCTCTCTTGTGTGTGTTGTGCAGCAAGAATGGAACAAAGAGCGAACATCAAATTTTGTGTTCGGCTGGGCAAAAGTGCCACGGAAACGTTTCAAATGATGAAGCAAGTGTACGGAGATAATGTCTGTCTCGTACACGTGTTTTTGAGTGGCATAACCGTTTCTGCCATGGAAGAGAATCATTGGAAGACGATGAACATCCTGGCCCATCAAAAACGATTTGAACGCCAGAGTTGATTGAAAAGGTGCGGGAAATAATCACCAACGACCGATGTGCAATGCTTCGAATGATTTCAGAAGATCTGTGCATTAATAAGGAAACCATTTGACATATAATAACTCAGGATTTAAAAAAAGTAAGGTCTGTGCACGGTTTGTTTCACATTTATTAACAAAACGATCAATCACAGCTCCGAGTTGAACACTGCAGGGAACTCATTGATGCCACTGAAAACAAACCCAACTTCCTGAATTTGATCGTTACGGATGACGAGACGTAGTGTTTCCAGTACGACCCCGAAACAAAGCTACAAATTGCGGAGTAGAAGTCAGCAAACTCTCCCCAAGTCAAGAACGTTTGCCAAGAAAGATCAAAAATCAAAACAATGATAACCATTTTCTAAGACAGCGAGGGAATTGTGCAGAAAGAGTTCATACCCAGTGGCGAGACAGTTACTGCTGCCTACTATCTGGACATTTTGAAACGTTTGCTTCAGAGGATCCGTCATGTACGGCCTCAGTATTGAGAAGATGGCAGTTGGTTCCTGTTGCAAGATAAAGTGCCGAGCCATAAGGCTCTCATTGTTAGGGAGTTTTTGGTCACCAAAAAAGTCTGTGTATTGTCGCATCCACCATATTCACCAGACTTAGCACCTTGTGACTTCGTTTTGTTTCCAAAACTCTAAGCACCACTGAAAGGCTGTTATTTTGATGACATGGACACCATTCAAAGGGCTGTAACGAGATTACTGAACAGAATTCCAGACACGGCCATCCGCCATTCCTCCCAGTTGCTTCATGGTCGTTATGTGCAGCATGTAGGTGCAGGAGGAAGCTACTTTGAATAAACAATGCTCAGATTGCTCATACATGGAACCATTATTTTTTTCCAGCATCAGTCCCATTTTCCAGTTGCCACACTGTGTATTGTTAAGTGAGTAGTATGAATCCTAGGCGCTGTGGCTAATAATTTTTTGCTGGATAAGGTGTTGCAGCTATTCAGGTACTCCTGCCCTACCAGGTATTTTGAGTTGCATTTTCTAAGACTGTAGTAGCTGTTGTCTAATGTTATAGGAATTTGAACTATTTCTTCTGTGGTTACTTAGTTCCTGTTTTGTATGTTTCAGTATCTGGAAGACATGATCAAAATACGTGAGAACACGTTTAACACAATTCGGAGATTAATTGGTTTGCGAGTGCAGCACATGTTCCAGAGTTTGCTCTACCGGCGCAGATACACTGTAAGAATCAGAACATTTCTCTAAAACAGTAGTTCTCAACTTTTCTGTTTTGTGGACGAGTCTCTCTCAAATCCAACGTATTGTCAGACTTGTGGTGGAATGATATGGCGTCTTCTCGACATTCCATTCATGCTTTCATGGGAATATAGTGAATTAGGTTCTCGTGTCTTTCTTTGCCACAGTATTCCAGCCGATATAGTGGTTCTAACCACTCCTGGAGGTGTCTGCATCAAGCCGTATAGAAGTCATTCTTCAACCACCTTAAAACAGTGTTGATAGAACTGCCAGAAATTCACCCTCACTTAGTTTAGCCTGTGAGTCGATACAGTTGTCCAGGGTGTGGCACTTGGAGCCATAAGTGAGAGCTGGGTGCCCTACGAGGACCACTTGCTACTGATCATCTCTCTCATCTATGATGCTTGATGCGACGGTCAGAGCAAAAGGTGTTACCTTTGCAACACATCCCATACGCCTCCAATTTTCACTGTCTTACATTAAGGCAATGTCCTACGTAAGCGATAACAAGCGAGCTGCATAAGCATCATGGGGTGTCATATAAAGCGGGGAATTGCTTGTTGTGTCCTACGTGAGAGACCGCAATAGAAGCACACAAGCCTTGCTCATGCGCCGTACTGGCCAGCGCAGCGCCGCACAAACAGCCAGTTTGATATTTCCACTTCACCCACCCAAGCTCACGTAGGACACCGGGTAAGCCTGTATAATACAGTTAGCTGTCTATTAAAGGAACTATTTCTAGCATTTCTGAACTGTTTATTTTTATTATATAGAAACCAGTTTGGTGCTTTGTACTTTGGTTGATGCTTGCAAAGTAGATACTTATATGGGCACTGACCTTGCTTAAAATAAGATGTAACAGCCAATATAAAAAATCGTCAGTAACGATGCTAGACAGCAAAATGTTTCGTTCAAGGGGCCAGGGCGTAATTTGTGGTTGATGTTTTTTTTATTTCAAAGGGCTTTTTGACATGAAGTAGAATAGTTTCAATGGAATGAGTTTAGTGTATCTGATGTGTATGTATGTTGCAGTCAATGGGTATAATCCTGTTTAGTGTGATTTTTTAAGTTATTTGAGAAATAAGTGTCAGATTAGCCATTTATTTTAAAACCAGTTACGGTTGAAATTAAACATTTACTTTTAAGTGGATAATTAATAAAAGTAAATTAAACCCTATCTAGGCAAAAGTGTTTGGGGTTTGATAGTGAAAGTTGAATCAGAGGTTTGGTGTTTGTGGCCTCTTATATGTTCTGTTCACTATATTTTACTTTGTCGTGTTGTGTGGTTTGTGTCTCCTCGTAGTTTGATTTTGGCAAATGTTGATTGCAGGGTGCAATAGTGATTGATCACCAAAAACAGACATTGAATGTGAAAGTGTCTCCATCTAAGGAATGCAGGTCAGTAGGAGACACCATGACCCTGTCTGGAGGAGAACGTTCGTACGCCACAGTTTCTTTCATCATGGCCCTTTGGGATGCTATTGATCCACCTTTCTATTTCTTGGATGAATTTGATGTCTTTATGGTAAGAACAGCAAAGAGTACGATACAGTGAGAAATAGGACTCAGCGAATTCTGTTCTTCTTGTTTCCTGTTACCTAGAAATTAGTTTGTGGTACTGCCTCCGTCATCAGGCCCTGATGACGGAGGCAGTATGACCTCTGAAACATTGGTTAACATCGACCAGACTACACAGCGCAACAACCCAGAAGACGGATATCTTCATACTCACCGCTGTGAGAACCTCAAGTCTTACAATTCATTTATACCTTCTTATCATCGTGGATTAAGTATCTTAATGCTTTCATCACCTTCCCAGCATCTCCTGGTTCCTTTGTAACTCTGCCTTGTTTGTTTCAATTCCGTGCTATATCTGGTCTGCAGTCTTCGTCCATTCTGTCTATTTGTATTCTTCTTCTGTATATGTTACACCTTGTCGAGTTTTGTACCAGTTTTTACAATTTACTTGCCCAGTATTTTGCATATTTTCAAATGTGTCTGCCCAACAGAATTGTGTGATGATAATGTATTTATTTTGACAGAATCATTGTATGTAAATCGCTTTTAGTTTGGTTTTCACTCTGAATTCATGAGTCACAAATTCATAGTTTGAGTACATTTCTAACTTTAGCGTGTGACTGTATACACCGTATTTTAATTTTAATATAGTGATTTCCACAAAGACAGGTATCGTAGACATAATCCTCAGATATGACCTGTGTTACGCATGGTATTCAGAGTAAATAGTATGAGAACTAAGCTACGTCATCACCAGACATCACGTAGAACACATAAATAGGCCACATGATTTATAGGAAGCAGAAAATATGAACACATGTGGGCTTTGTATAAATGCTATACTTTCATATGCAGTTCATAGGTGATTTTCTAAGTCATTGTTTTAAGGTTTTTGTTGTGTTTTTAGTTAAGTATTTTATATTTCAGGATAAAGTGAATCGTCGAGTGACCATGGATTTACTTTTGCAGCATTCCCGACTGAAAACAAATTACCAGTTTGTCTTCCTCACCCCGCAAGACACATATACCATTCAGTCTGATGAAGATGTTACAATACACAGGTACTAAACTAAGAGCAAGAAAGAATACTATGCCTCTTCTCTGTATCAACGACTTTCATCTTCAGTGTCTGGTTGCGTTGGAGGCTCCTTGGAATATTTAATCTTTTTGCTGTTGCATTTGGTGAAAAGTTTGAAGTTGGATAGGGTGTGTTGTGTGCGCGTGCATACATGCATGTGTGTACATAATGCTTTCTTCTTCTATGGCTCTCTGGTCCGTATTTAGTCCATGGCCTCGTCAATTCTCCCCATTTGGTCCGTCTGTCTGAGGCTTTGATTGATATTTTGAAATATCTTCCTTTTTATAGTGCAAGGTTATTTGCCTTGTGACCAACCCCCAACCTGGAGGACCAGGGTACCTGTCTTAGTCTGACCTCTCCCCCTTGACCAATCTGGCTAGGGAGGCCCTACCAGTAGCTATGCTACTGCCAGCATAGCTCTTGGGGTCACTGAGGTACTCATGCCCCACCACCATGACAAGGTGCAGGTACCATTAAGTGGGACATTTATTACTGCTGTTCACCAATATGCTTCACAGTGGCATAACAAACTGACTGTGAAATTCAGTTTCAGTGATTTCGAGGTAGCAGTCTAGCAAAGTAGAAAAATATTTTATGTGTTTCTGTTGCTTATTTCATCAGTAGTATAATACTGCTTAACTATATGACAATGTTTCCTTTTAATATCATAATATATTATTTTTATTTACAGGTTGCAAGATCCATGCAGGGGTAATAATACACAGTGAAGAACAAGGATAAGTGGTATTTCGTACACACAGAGCTTGTATTTTACTTGAATACATATTTGTTATAATATCTAGATCAAAGGTGTGCAGCCATTTCAGAGCAGGGGTCACCTGCAGAATGCGAAGCTCGTAGGGCAATTGGAAATTAAGGAGAGTTTTAAAATAATTAATTTTAATAAAATGTCATATTGCTTGTGTTTTATCTTGTTATGTATGTACACATTGATGTAAAAGGAGGCATCTCTGAATTAGTTTACAAATATTAATTCATAAGTTGACCCAGGTGCTTAACTAAGCACCACCCCATGCATACATATGGGGTATGGAGGTATATCTACATGCATTCTTAACCACAGCATTATATGGTTAGCTTCACATGCTTGTTGCTTTACCCTTGGGGAAAGTACCCCAGTATCCATTATATCATAGGATGGAGGGGCTCCAGAACCAGTCTTTATGATATGGCAAAGAGAAAAATCTTGGTTATTCTGACGATAGCCAAGTTACTATACTTGCATACAGAGCACAAAAACATTGTTTCCTCCTCGATGTTCTTTCTGAGGAAGTAAATCCAAACCACAGTGCTAAAGGACCAACAGTACTGTACATAATACATATAAATGGGGAATCCACATCTGTGCACCGTCTTAATATCTTATGGCAATATTTTTAATCATACAGTAAAGATAAAACATACTGGGAACGACCCGTTCTTCAAGTACCTGAGCACTGCGGGTCCCAACTTTTCGTTGGCTTGATCTGTAGACATTCGGTAGGACTCCTTTTTACGAGGGATTGGCCCATTGCAAGGACTCTACCTGTACACAGGACAGCACAACCCAGAAAAACGTGGACAAACATCCATGGCATGAGTGGGATTTGAACCCACGGTCCAAGTGGCGAAAGGCCCACGCCTCAGACCGCGTGGCCACTGCGGACCCCGTAAAGATAAATTGTAGCTAAATCAAAACTTAATAAAGCCACTCAAAACCAACATTGTAGTGTAGTGTATGACTTATGTCTGCTCTGGCAGTTGCTCTCTCATATGTTGCCTGTGGATTCAGAGCTGTTAATAATCTGTCTAGAAGACTGTCTAGTTTTGTTTCTTGAATTCTATTGCTTATTTCCAGCTGCCTTGAAACAGCTGTAGGACGTACAGATGGAGTTATAGCCCAGTTAAGTCTGTCTAAAAGCCGATTCATTTGTGCATCTTGTTCTCTGTTTATCTTAACTGATTTATTGGCTGCTGTTGGTGCTGATACTGAAGACAAAATCTGATCCAGTCATTCAATTAAACGATCCAGCTTAGTTTCTATTCTTGCTTGTCGCTCTTTGTCAGCTTCCACCATTCGTGTGAACAACTCTGTACATTTAAAATCTTTGTAACAGCATCACTTTGAGCATGAATTGCACGCATGACTAGCCGTTCCAGTCGGAGCATTGTACCTCTGTGGGAATACTGATTTGTTATCGTCGCACCAGTCCTGGAGTGGGAGCCAGAATGTAGTGAACTCTGTTGTAGAGATGGATGACCATTTTCTTGCACAAGATGTATGTCGTCATCATGGGCTACTGTTGTGTCATCTGAATGGAAAATTGATTTATGTTAAATGGTTTATATTTTGTACAGAAATAGTTTTCTATTTGGTTCTATTCTGACAGGCCGATTTTCTAGTTCACCTCAAACTTTAGGTGAAATTGTCCCTTTACCTAAGCACCAAGCCATGAAAGTGTGTTGGGGAGATGAGATATAGTTCTGCACATTCTGAACCAGCTCCATTCAGGCATATTTCTCATAGGTATATTATTGAAAATTTGGTATGATGTTCCAAAGTTCATCATCATAGTCATATAAAACTATTCTTCCACTTTGAAGTCTAGATGAGACCAGAATATAAACGGTAAGGTGTTCATTTAATTACTGCTGGGTTGTAAAGGGTTAGAGGTGTGCCACTGTACCCCTTGGACCCTATATTCAATTCTGTCTTGGGAGGGGGAAAAGAGGGGAAGGATGGAAGTCAAATTCTTAAAAGAAATACAGAGTCCAATGACCAAACCCCTTCAACAATTACATTCGTGGAAACGGAAATACGCGTTTTTGAATTATTAACCTTTAGTTCATACGGTATGTGAGTATTTCTCGATTCAGTCCCGACTTTTTTAATGTAATCCTTTTATGCGCGTTATATATGTTTCAATTAAATTGCCTTATATCCCATTACCTGATTGGAGGAGTGACAAAGGTGGATGACGTCATATGTATGGAAGAGGAAGATTGGTCATCGTCCAGCATTACATCAACAGCATGAATAAACTGCTGCTGATTGGTTGAATCCTGAGAGAAATCTTGTAATTCTTGTACCGCTGTCATCTAAAAAATGGGAGAGGGCAGAACAGGATAATCAGGTCTAATCATTTTTAATGCAATACTGCAAGAATTATTTCTTTTAAAGGCAACGACTACCTGAAATAGTCGGCGGAGAATTTTGTTCCGCTTTGATATTGACTTGCACCATTTCTTGTTTAATAAATTCCTTGGAATGTTGATTGCTGTATTTTTGCTCCAACAATCCCAGTTGATCTGAAGAAGGAATAATATGTATATATTTACTTTTATTAATGATCTGTAAGGAACAACCGAAACCGAGTTATGTAATTACCTGTGGATGGCCCACCAACACCATCCCATATAAGCTGATTTCTGAGAGTAGCTCGAAGTTGCTTTTGAACCGAACTATCCGACCAAATCGAAATTAAAAGCGCAGTTCCTGCGTGATTCCACATATATTTGTGTTCGTTCATTTGTATTTTCTGTAGCGATTACCAAGAAAGCTAAAGATGCGTACAAAATCTTCGCCAAGTTGCTACCGACTATAATGCCTGACCCCTAGCCTACCTATAAAAGCTATTTACATCACACCGGCTTTGAGCTAATCCAATTCAGTTCTAGACCGGTTCGGAACAGGCCAAGCCATTTGAATAGGTAGGTAGGGTAGGCGAAATAATCAATGCTCGCGTACGCCTGTCATTTATGGTAAATTATTTTGCCAGTTAAATATGCTAAGTGCTTTCATATAATATAACAACAGTCTGTTTTGATTGCTGTTTATATGTCACGGTGACGAAAGTTTGGTTTCTTTGTTTGTTTTAGGATACACCGAAAGGGTATCGCTGATTGCAATCACGCTCTATATGTACAGCCAATATAAGCTGTCCGTGGTTCAGGGACCGAGGATAACCTACTCATTGTCAATATACAAACTTAATAGTGTTAAACGTTTGAAAATAACACTTTGCTATGTACTATATGCGTACTCGATATAAATATCATATTTTTCTGCCAATCCTATGCTACAGTAACAATACTGCAATATTACAATATCTCATTTGAATCTAATGGTCCTGAAACTGTGTCGCGTGGAAGACTGTCCATGATTGGTACCCTATTTGTAGTTTCGCGCCGATATATTAAAATTAGCCAATGAGAGTAACATTTTATGCAGCTTGTGATAGCAAGAAATATACAAAATGGCCATCGGTTTGGTAGCAAGGTTGTGTGGGTGATTTAATTAATTAAGTATATTTTGAGAGAAACAGTGTGCATAACGAAAATGTACTTTCCAGTTGGATGGCCGAAAGTATTAAATATCCCGCAGTTAGGAAAATGTTCAATTCGTCAAGTGGTCTGTAATAGGGATAAGATTTTGTTTGCTATACTGACAGACGATTGTTTGTCAGTTTGGTTTTGCAAGGTTAGTTTACCATAATATTATATTCGGCAGTCTCTTTGAAGTCTTATTATCATTGTTTCTGTTCTTCTTTGACACACTAAATTTTCATGTCTAAGAAGTGATGAGTTATTTCTGTTCTTATTGAAGTAGGAAATTCTTCGTGATGTAGGTCACGTCACTTCAGTTTTGTGAAAGCACTTTCTTTTCAGCCATGTGTTCCTATAGTTATCCATCGCCGATCTTGTGAATCAGTAGAAGATATTGGAATGAATGAACTTGTGGAATGGCGTCCAGATTCCAGCATGCTTGTTGTTGCTGTAAGTACTATCGTTTTTAGTAAGAAGTGTGCACGTTCTCTTGTTTTCAGTGATTATTGGAGGATAAGATTTACAGACTGATTGTTTTAGAAAGTTCTGTGGTTTTTGTCTCCAAAAATAAGATTTGTTTTCCTTATGTTACAGACATCAGGTGGTTACTTGTTGCTTTATAAGCTCGGAGTAGTTGCTGAGCAGAAAGGTCTGTATGTGCAAGTAGATTCACCACATCCAAATTTACGTAGAGATAGTGCTGAATTATTTATCAAGGAAGTCATTCCACCTCTTCATCTGACATTGGTGAGTTGCATTGCAATTTGGTGTTTATGGATGAAAGTTTTAGTTGCAGGTGTCACAGTCATACTTCTCAATTTCATATTTCTCTTTTCCATTGAGGTAGCATTAAAATAGTTGGTTTTTTTGATTAGCTAAAACTCATTATTTAATGCCTTTATTTTCTCATTTGATTGGGGAAGGTAAGAATACATGCCCTTTAAAAAAAAACTTATACTCTAAATGTTGTTAAGCGGGGAGATCATGGCCTGAAAATGGGCCGAAGCACTGCAGATGATGATGTTAGGTTGGGTAGTACAATTTTTCATGGTGCTAGAAATGGTGTGTGTGTGTATGTAAGTGTGTATTATATGACACATTTAAATATGTAGTATTCTGGGCCTCACAGAATAATTTGATTCTTATAGTAAGAAATTGTTGTCATTTTAATATTGTTCTCTACAATATCCTTTGAGAAAAATTGTTATATTTTTGTGCACCGGTAGTTCCTTCCTTGAGTATAATCTAGTAATCAGGTACATACTGCACTTTTGGAATATATTAAATGCACAATATAAATAAAATTCCTCTTTTCAGTGTCATTTGATGCATTATGAGGCAGTTGTTGGTCCTATCTGTGTCATTACAGACTGTTTGCATAACCATTTTAGTATTACCATCCCACATATAGTTTTTTTTCAGATGCATTTTTCATTATGTTTTCACACCAAGAGTTTAAGCATATTTATTGTTTGTCATATATATCATGTATTGACTTACTGTTAGTACAAAATAAAATGTTTGTATCATAAGTTTCACATTATGTAATTTTTACTATTCATCAGGTTAAGTGTCATATAGTGAGATTGTTTTCTTAGTTTTTGTTTCTGGTTTATTTTGTTTTCTGTCCCATGTGCCTCAAATAATGGTTTTGCTTGTTGTAAAATTTTTAGATAAGTTTCTCTATATTTATTTAATTATGAAGGCAAGAAATGAGACACTAAATATTGAGATGTGAACACACATTTTTCTACATTCTATTTTATTATGTTGATGATGAACATTTTGTATTGCAGGATGAGGAAGTTGGGATTGAAGGAGGAATTACCAGTGTGGTCTGTATTCGTGATGAGCTGATGCTGGCAACTACTCGAGGTCATGTTCTGAGGTATAGGTGGGATGGCTCTCAAAACAGAGACTACTGTCTTGATCTCAGAAGGGTGCCTTTCTGTATTGACCAGCAAGTTTCCAAAGGTTCTCTTTCACATTTGTTAATTGTTGTTACAGTTTTGTTTGTTATGGTAATAAAAGCAACCAGTAACTACTTGTATTCCACATTTTTATATACGCAATGTACTTTTTCTATTAGTACTTTATATGGGGAAATTTTATTTTAATATATTTATGTCCGTGTCCTTATTGTTTTCATTGTGTGTAAGAAAACTATGACAAAGAATTTATTTAATTATTACTTTAATGTTAATGTGTATTTGATGGATTTCATGGTGATGTTTACATACTGTTTGATTATTTATAGTGGTACGTTGGTTTTGGAACCAAACAACATGTGTTATAATTTGAATATGTATCACCAGTCCTGCACAAATTTCCCATAAATGTAGAGACCACCTCCAAAAACTAGGAGCCAAGATATGCTTTTCCTCATTTCTCAAAATGGCACTATATGTTAGGTTCTTGGTGATAACTTTAGCCACTCCACAAATACCACAAATTTCTGTTAACTGTTATGTTTTGCTGTCAGGTACAGTCAAATGCGACTTGGGAACTAGTGGTTCTTGCAGTGTTCATTGTGAGTTTTATTACACTTTGTGAATTTTAAGCCTGACCCTCTCACTGCCCCAAGACATTAGTATTGATTATAGTTTGTAATGTTTCTTAATTTTTGTCCTGTGATTTGCAGCAGTACCAATTTTGGAATGTAATACATATGTTGTGGATATAGAATACTCACCTCTGGTTGGTGGATTTGCTGTTGTTCTGAATGATGGTCGGGCAGCTTTTCTTACAGCAGCTTCGTTAAGGTTTGACCCAAATGTAAGTTGCAATGTGATATGTATGCTGCATGGGAATTTGTTGTTTACTACGTGTATGTGTTCATTTTTGTACTCTGTAAGGTATAAAAGTTGTAATTATAATCCCTGCTTTGTGATTGAGATAGCTTCAAGAGACCTCTTAGTACGCCATAAAAATGATGATGTCATTTGTTGAAGTCCCTGATCCCATTCTCCTTAGATACTTCAGTGGTAACATGATCAAGTTGTCATAGGCACTAGCCAAATGCACATTTCCAGTGATTAATAGCTTGACTGAAAATACATTGTGGTCTGTAAGGTATAACAAACTTTGTTACAAATCAATGAATTTGAAATAAAAGCCAGGCGAGACAGAACTTCATGTTTTATAACAGCATTCTGAAGTATCATGACTAGAGTAGCATAAAGGCATCTCTCGATTTATGAACGTTCGATTTACGAACATTCGCTATAACAAATGTCACAATTCATTCAAAATTTCTTAGTCACCAATAGATAGTTCCTTGTAAAGTTGAATACATGTGTATGTACATATGTTAGTACTCATTTTATTAGGAGCAGGGATAGCTCAGTCAGTATAGTGACTAGCTACGGGCTGGACGACCGGGGTTTGATCCCCGACAGGGGCAGAGGATTTTTCCTCTAGCCTCTGCATTCAGACCGGCTCTGGAGCCCACCCAGCATCCTCTACAATGGTACCGGGATCCTTTCCCGGGGCGTGATGCTGACCACTCACCCCATCTGGTGCCGAAGTCAAGAAAGTAGGAGCTATACCTCCACTCCCCCAAAACGACCTACATGGCGTGTAGTTGGACGGCTTTACTTTACTTTTCACTTTTACTCATTTTATTCATTTCTATTTTGTAACTCTTTATGTTTCTAATTAAAATTAACAAGTACGATATCTTGTTTTATTATTTTATTTTACGTTACGTATCGTATACAATAAACCATAATGCATACATACATCTTTATTACATTCTGTGGATCCATAAAATAGTCAGATGTTTGATATGGCTACTCTCTTTTGGTATGACAGCATAAAGGTCCCTTTCTGTATTTGTAGTGACTTCTGTCATGCTGACTGGCCATTCCTGACATTGAAATTTCCCTTGTATCCAGATTTCACTTGTCTAAGGAAAACAGCATTCTTTTTCATACACTACTTTTGTTTCCTGTTTGGGAAAGAAATAGGTATCAGCTAAATGATGAACTAGGTTCATAGTGTAATGTAGCCACAAAAAATAACTCTGGTTGCTGCTGATCTAAAAAACTTTTTCTGTTATATTAATACAATTTTAATGTTATCATAGTACCACTAATATTTATGTATATATTTTATATAAGTGATACGAATCAATAATTTTCTTAATATTTTTTCCAGCAAGTTCAAGGTATTTGGGCCCAGAATATAGAAGATGCCACTTGCGCAAGTGTGAATCATAAATATCGTCTTATAGCATTTGGAAGGAAAAAGTAAGAATAATTAATTGTTTTGAGTAATGAAATGTTTAAGATGTGTGTTTGGTTATATTGTCACAATATTTCTTTCAAATTAAATTAAGAACACTTCAATAAAAAAAACCCGAAAACTCATAATATCTTTGTATCTTAGTGTGACACTTTAGGTCAGAAGTTATTTTGGGCAATAAATTGTTGGTTCCCAGGTGGTTGAAAGAAACACCAACGTTTTGAGAACCATCTTGGTGCTTTCACATTTAAACCACCTGACATGGCTGGTAGCCCAAGAAGAATTCATTATACGTAGTTGCTGTGATAGCTTCAGATCATGCATTAATGTATTTGTAATTATATATGCTTTCTAGTTCTCAGGCTGTGGTATACTGTATTGATGAGAGTACGGGTGGACTTGAAGTGTCCCATCATATTGTCCTGTCTAGTAAAGACTATCCAGGGTCTCCTGGACATGTTCAAGGCATTAAGTGGACTCCTGATGGCTGTGCAATGGCTGTTTCATGGGAACAAGGTGGTCTGTCTCTTTGGAGTACATTTGGTGCACTTCTGTTGTGTACTCTTGGTTGGGATTATGGCCTTCATGTAGATCTGGCACGTTCTAATCCCCTGCATATACATAGTATGGTGTGTATAATGGAGAATTAATTAAATACTTTGGAAAGTTTATATAGTCAAAATGGTGAAGAAATGTTAAGAGTAACAGCTGAAGTTTTATTGAAGTATTTCAGAGTTACATAAACTTTAAACATATACCCAACCAGTCGTCACATCATCTCAGAAATTTGGTAATTGGGTGTTTGAACCACAAAGTCTTGTTTGTGCTGCCACTGCCTAAGTACTGCTATTCTGTGACCCAGGAATGGTCAGCAGAGGGATACCAGTTGTGGATGGTGAAACGACAGCCTGATCATGATCCTGGGGGAAATGGCAGTTTGGATTGTGTTATACAACTAGACTTTGTCAAGAGTGCCCTCACTGTAAACCCCTGCATGGTATGTAGTCTTATATGAATAACCAAGTTACTGTTTTAAAATATTAAATATAAAGAGAAACAGTGAAAATACTGTGCAAGATTTGAGGTTTTCACATTGGTGAGTATGAAGATACTGTTAATACTTTTGACCAAATTTGTTCCAGTCACAGCACAAAGACTAATTCAGGATAGAGCATTTTTGCCGTAATATTCATAAGAGGTCCTGGAAATTTGACGTGATGTTTATTTCTCAGCGTCTTGTATATGAAATGGGTTCTAGATAGTTGTGAAGAGCATGTAAATGGCTTATTAATTTATGTTTTACATCAGGTGCTCTTAACATCCAGCCCTTTGACATGTTCTGTGCAGCCTGCGTGCATTTTTCTAAGACCTACTGTGTTAACCTGTATGATGAAAAATAGGTCCTTGATTTCAGAAAAGATGTCTTGTTAATGTAATCAGTATGTGGTAGTCTCTGTTGCTGTGAGCAACTGTTTAGGTTAGTGAATAACATCAAGAAGTGGAATGTGTCTTACTGATAAACACTTGGTGTGATGCATGTAAATCTTCTTCTTCTATGGCTCTCCAGTCCATATTCGGTCCATGGCCATGAACATAAAGTCTTCATTATCTTTTACCTTTTGTTTGCTATTTTTTTTTCCAGAGTCATCAGAGCCATTTGTATCTTCAAGGTGAAGATAGATTGTTTGTAAATCTAGGTGACAACTTAACCAAAGTCTACCATGAACGCCCAAGGGACCAACTGTCATCTCTGTATGGATCAAATGAAATGTTTCTGGATGTAGGGAATCTCATTGTAACCAGTACTCTGACAGGAAGTAAACAGTGGACTGTGGTACCAATTCCATCAGCCTACTTGGGCACTAACTGGCCTATTAGAGTAAGTCGGCATGCTGTTATACCAGATAGGAGGTGCTTGTTTAGCATCAGAAATAATTTACCAAATGTGATGCAGTACTCATCATTTTTGTATTTCATTGGGGAATCAGGACGAATGCATCTATTAGCTTTTTGTTTTAATACAGTATCTTGCTTTAATATATGGGGCAGTGGCAACAGTCAGTCTCACCCCATTGTAGCAATAAAGAATGTACAGTGTGTCCACAAAGTCCCATTGGGGTTTTGAAAAAATAGTGGCACGCAAACAAATTGAGCTAGCCACACGCGGTTTGCGGCAGATTACAGTGAAACTCTGGAAGTTTTTTACTGACCTCAGTAGACCTGGAAACATGAACCCCTACCTGGACATGCTGGAACTGTATGCAGTACCACAAATTGAGCACTTACAGCCACACATCATTCTGCAACAAGATGGTGCTCCACCCCATTCGGGTCTGCACTGAAAGCAACAGTACTTACAAATTAAAAACATTATTTTATTGTTGACATGAGGCTCTGTAGGCATGACTTGTTATTGGTTTTATATATTCTTATGTACTCTTTTCTTTGTTTTCCAATGAGATTATAATGTTATGTAACTTTTTTTACAGTACACTGCCATTGACTCTGAGGGTCAGAATTTAGCTGTAGCTGGAAGAACGGGATTGGCACATTATTCAATGGTGTCTCGTAAATGGAAGTTGTTTGGAAATGAGACTCAAGAAAAGGACTTTGTTGTGACAGGTGGTTTGTTGTGGTGGCGAGACCATGTTGTGATGGGCTGTTATAGCATCTTGGAGAACAGGGATGAGATCCGGATATACCCGCGAGATACCAGATTGGATAATACTTTTGTAAAAGTTGTGCGGGTCTCGGCTCAAGTTCTTCTGCTGAACACGCTTTGTGATAGGCTAATCACTTTTTGTGCCAATGGTCAAATATCAATTTACAGTTTATCTGTGAAGGAAAACCATTCATGTAAGTTATTTTATTATTGGTGGATTTTTATGTGTTGTAATTATTTTCCATGTTTTCTTACCAAGATCTGATGTGCTGGTTTGTGTATATCACCCATGTTAACAAGAATGGAACTTTTCTCAGATAGAATATTCATAATTTTTTCCATTAAGATATCTAGAAATAACTACTGTTTCAATTTGTAACAATGACTGAACAATTACAATGAATTTGAAGGACATCCCTTTTTTATTTCTTTGCTTGTTACTTGTATGCTACTCTCTGTATATTCATAAAGTGTGTTGCTCAAAATTTATCTTATTAGGTTGATTTTGTGACTATTGACACTCCTGAATGGTTAATATGGTTTAAAACTATCACTTTACAGTTCTCAGTATAAATGTAAATACAATTTCAAATGTGCGTAAAGTGCATTTTAAGAAATTTATCAAAGAAGTTCTTATAATATCCCTGAATTGTATTTTATATTAAATATTTGTTACAATAAATTCTGTAACATTTGTCTGGAATGATTTTAGATCTAATGAAATGTTAATTTTGGTCTTCAGTGTTTGTTTTATATTACATGTGTTTCTATTAAAGAGTTTGTCCCGCTACATGCTGTAAAGGCGCTTTGGGTGAGTGGAGGTGTAGCTCCTCTTTTTCTTGACCTTGGCACTAGATGGGGTGAGTGGTCAGCATCACGCCCTGGCCGGCTTTACCTCCGGGAAAGGACCCCGGTACCCATTGTAGAGGGGGCTGGGTGGTCCCCAGAGCCGGTCTGGACGCAGAGGCTAGAGGAAAAATCCTCTGACCCCGTCGGGGATCAAACCCCGGCCGTCCAGCCCGTAGCTAGTAACTATACTGACTGAGCTATCCCGGATCATGTGTTTCTATTACAGTGAACCATTTTTTGATGTACTGCAGAACTCTTAATTCAGTCATGAATAAAATGTGTATGAAACTTTAACATTTTTTGTTCTCCGTTTCCAGCATATCTTGTGAGCACAGTGAAATGCCAAAGAGCTGTGACTTGAACTGATGCAACATTTTTCAGGTCTTATTAATCCTATTGCCATTTAAATATTGTTACCAGATTTTGCATAGTGTTTTTTGAAAGGAGAACACAAAAGGTTAATTTTACATTTTCTCACTCTTATTTTATATACAAAGTGTGATATAGTTACAGAAGAGTGAAAGAATAAAACAGGAATGAATTATTACTTTTTTTTTTGTAGTAGGTGGTGTTGAGATGGGAATCCTGCAGAGTGTGGACATCAGTGCACTGTGTGTTCATCCTGCTTGTGTTGTGTCTGTGACGTTAACAACTCTTCGTACAGAAACTGGTCGCCACACAACGAAGGAGGTTGAAAGTATAATGCTTAATGTGAGTGGCAGATTGCTGATGGTTCAGCGTGAGCAGAACTGTAAGCAAGGAGATGACAACAGTGATGGCAGCCTGGTAAGTAAATTATTGCCATATACTGGTGCTGTGAATTGTGAGGTCATTTCGAAAGTGTCAGATCATTAATAAAATTTTATGATGCAAAACAGCTTTCTTGATGATGTATTTTTTGGTATAGGGGGTGGTATAAGAATTTGTCCCTGGACTCAACTACCAGATATATTTAGTCAGAGACCAGTCAGATCTAGTATGGGCAAAAGACCTCAGAATTACTGTATAATCTGTGCAGCTGAAACTGTAATCAAATAACCCAAGAATATATTGTTGTAATAAAATTTTCATAATAAACGTTTATAAGAGTTTATTGTTTTGGAATTTTATGTACCTACTGAAATTTATAGCCACAGTCTTATTGTCTTGTTTCAGTCATACATCTGTGCTCCTCCCACTGTCCTGGCATCACGTGTGGAGAATGTGTGGGTTCCTCGCAAGTCTCGGCGTGAGAAACCTCATTTAACTGAAGCTTTATGGCTGTTCTGTGGTGCTCATGGGATGATGGTGTGGCTACCATTATTTCCTAGAGATGGAGACAAATCTCATTCTTTCATGTCCAAGAGGATAATGTTGCCTTTCCATCTCAGGATATATCCACTGGGTAAAGCCATGTTTTGATGCACTATATTGAAAGAAGGAAAGGACAGGGTTTATATACACTATTTAAAGTACACGGTTTAAAAATTATTTTTCACAAAGTTGTTCAATAAAACTTATATTAGGATCAGTATGTATCAGCATCATTGAAAACATTAACTCAGATAATCATTTTTAGATTTATTGATGCTCAGTATGAGCTTGATTCATAATTTTGACAACATCCAAGCTGTGTACAAATTCACCTCCAACTTTCTGCAAGATTGTTCTGTCCGTTTGCTTTAGTTGCTTTACTAATTTAATATTTCAGGTCCTCTAGCTGCGTTGTTAAGGGTGGGGCATAGTTATAATCTTTTAACATATTTATAAGATGTAGATTTCAGAAGTTTCTTCCAAAATAATGTGGTGATAATCCCCAAAATATTTATCAACTCTTTGCCACACTATTTTAGTGTAGTGTATCCTGAAGCCATCAGGCCAAATTTATGTGCCCACAGTATGTTTTATGAGTAGAATGTTAAGTTCGGCAGGAAACATTTTGTGTTACTGTATTTTAATCTGTTTGGCATGACAAAGGGTTAGTTGCTCAATATCATGAAACTCTTCAAAACTTTGAATGTATGGGAACATAATGCCAAGTTTTATTTTTTGTGTTTTTATTTGTAGCTATTTTATTTGAAGATGCTATTCTCTTGGGTGCTGAAAATGACACAATGCTGTATACTTCAGATTCAAATTCACCTTTCTCTCTGCCGTTCTGTGTTCTGGAGCGAACAGTAAGTTCCACTTTTATTTGGGTTTTTAAAATGTAATTGCAATGCAGTGCAGTCTTATGTATATATGTTTGTGAAAATCAAGTGGAATTTCGTATTACTGTTACTGCCGAATTCCCTGTATTGTATTTTACACTGTTTCAGAGTCAAGTATACCTCCATCAGATACTGCGTCAGCTGATACGTCGAAATTTGGGCTTCCATGCGTGGGAGATTGCCCGAAGTTGTACAAGTCTTCCTTACTTTCCCCATTCCCTGGAACTGCTGCTTCACGAGGTACAATTCTTCTGCTTTCCACTTTCAGATTTACAGCAGTGGTCTCCAACCTTTTTGTGCCTACGGGCACATTTGAGAGTTTATGAGATCGTGGCGGGCACCAACCAATTAACAAAGCCAAATTTTCTTTTCTTTGGACAAATAAGATATGGACGCCAAATAATACGCAAAACAACACAACGTTTAATGATACAAGAAACCATGCAATCAAAAATACGTAGTTTTATAAGTACAATTATTATTACTCAAGTGAGAAGTTAGTGTGATGTTTGGCACTGCATTTCATCAGCCAGTTTTTCAAGTTTGGGAGTGTAGGATGATGTTGCTGCTCGCAAACGATCGTCAAGATGGTCGTCAGTAAGTCGAGATCTGCGCTTTGATTTTATAATGTTCGTGGTTGAACGGCCTTCATTATTCAGTATAACCTCTTTCCGTAACAACACGGGCACCCAAAAAGAGCCTTGGCGGGGACCACTGGTGTACAGTGATGCATGCTGTGTATATTTCATTGTAATGACTTGAACTAGTTGGTTGAGTTGCATGATGTTTGAAAGAAAGATTGCCTTTTGAGGATATTCCAGTGCATATTACCAGGCACTCAAGAAACACAGTTACTTTAGAACCATATTATTGAGCTGTATGTGTCTAGGTGTGTGCATCTCCAACTTGAAATGCAGATGTCAGTATCATAGGTAGTAACTGACCGATTACTGTGAAACTCAGTATGAACTTCATGCCACTTGAGACCTTTCTGATCACAATCATTCCTAACATCCTATGATCAACTTTGCAAACATGAACTTGTGAAGTGATAACATTAAACATTACTAGGCATATAAAATGCAGAATGCTACCAAGAGAATGTGCAAATGGAAAGGAACAAAATGTGGTTATACAAAAAGCATGAATTTAAAGTTTTGAAACTTTACTGATTGTCAGGTGTTGGAAGAAGAAGCCACCAGTAAAGAGCCAATTCCTGATGCATTGCTACCAAGTGTGATTGAGTTCATACAGGAGTTTCCAGTTTACCTACAAACAGTTGTACAGTGTGCACGGAAGACTGAGATTGCTCTGTGGCCTTATTTATTCTCAGCTGCAGGCAAACCCAAAGATCTGTTTCAGGAGTGTCTGGCAAGAAAGCAGCTTGATACAGCAGCATCTTACCTCATTATCCTCCAGGTTAGTACTCCTTAGAGTTCCCCAAGGGTCAATTCTAAACCCTTGTTTTTTTATATAATATTCATAATGACCTTAATTTATCAATAAATACCTTATCAGAACCCATAATAATTGCTGATGACACAACTGTCATAATTTCTAGTAAACAGTTTGATTTCTGTGCAACATCAGACATAGTTTCCTGTCATATGAGTTTGTAGTTTATTCCTAACAAACTATCCCTAAGCGGCCCATCCATGTACGAGTCTGGCTTGCGAGTCCGGCTCGGCTCGGGTTCCATTGAGCCAAACTCGTTTGTGGGTGGGGTGTCACGAGCCGAGTCTGCTATGCATGTGTGGTGAAATATATCCGAGCCCAGCTCACGAGTCAAGCTCGCCGAGCCAGACTCGCAAGTCAGACTCGTACGTAGATGGGCCGCTTAAATCTAGATAAAACAAATATATATATAAAAGAGCTGGATAACTTTATCATTTATATGTTTCTATAGTATTGAACCCGTTCTAGGCATTTTCAACTATGTTCACTGTTCTCTACTGTTTGTCCGTCCATCCGTGAAAAAAAACAATTCGAGAGCCACCAAATGAATTTTTATGAAATTTGATACTGAGAAATTTCACTGAGATTTGTGTTCACATTCCAATTTTGGTTAAAATTTGACTCAGTAATGGACATTTTAAATGAAAACCTGCGTGCGAAAATTACTGGGCTGGGAGTTACTTTACTACATCGTTATCTCTGATTACCTGGAAAAACCCTACATGGGAATTCCCATCCAGCTGCACAGTCTATGGCGATGTCATCAAGCAACCAAAAAGGCATCTGAGCAAAGTTCTGTGATCCCAAACAGCTGTGCCTTCACTAGCATCTGTCAACAAGGTCAAAGGTGAAATTCTGGCAAATGCACCAGAATTGTTATAGTAGCTGAACATTTCATAAATTGTTTTATTTTACTGTACCTGGAGATGAGAATTTTGTGTCTGAAATGTGTCTTGTAAAATTAAACATTTTCTAATGAAAAATGTGAGTAGGCAATAAGCATATTAACATAGTGTTAAGATCTTATGATATTGAGTACTATGAAACTGTTTCACTATGTTACAGAACTTAGAACCTTCTTCAATAAGCAGGCAGTATGCAACACTGCTGCTGGATGCAGCTTTGGATCAGTGTAAATGGGAACTATCTAAAGATCTTGTACGATTTCTCAGAGCAATCGGTGAGCTTATGGTTTTACATTAAAATGTCTGTAATTGCCCCACACCGTAGTTTGCTTTGTAATGTAATCTTTGTCATTACAGATCCAAATGATGTTGAATCGCCTCGTGCCTCTTTTATTCTGCCGTCCAAGTATGGAGTGAATCCACAGACTCCTCCTGTTAGTCCTAATGAGGAGGACCTTTCTCTTGTTCTTGGTACAATGCAGGTTTGTGCTAACAGATGCAAATGTTCTGTTGAATCTCTGTAAGTTCCTCATTAAAGACTGAGTATGTGTGATACTGAGACCTGCGCGGTCTGAGGCATCATGCTTCGGACTGGCGATACGGAATGCACGCTGGTTCGAGTCTCGGGGGAGAAGAAATTTTCTCAAGAGCTTTCGACCAGTGTATGGGACCGGTGCCAACCCAGCATCGTGAGGAAATTGGGGAGCTATAATGAGTAGCGTAATCCGGTCCGGAAAGCTAGCAATGGCTGGGGGTTCATCGTGCTGACCACACTTCACGTGACTTTAGCTTTTATTTCAAATTATGTATTTTTGTTAATTATCTATTTTCTCTTTAAATACTTGTCATATTAGTATTATATTTGGATAGTTACAATATTTGTAAGATTTATGTGCTATGATGAAAGTAATGATCCACTTGGAAATGCAATTTTGATAGGTATCTCGGGGCCGTAGTTACAGCACTACAACTTCCCCTAAAGTTCAGCAGATTGAGTCAGGAACTCCATCAGTGACAGGACATCATAGGGAAATGCTACGTTCCAGTAGCAGCAGTGGGGAGTGCAGCAGGTCTGTTCCCATGAGACGCAAGAAATCTGTTCCTACAGGATGGGGAGATACCAGGTATGGCATCAGGTGCAAATTTGGAAATGAACATCTCATTGGAAATTAAGGTGTATACCTTAATTTCCAATATGAAGTTTAGTAAGAATACCTGGGTTTGATTGTCTGATGATTGGTTCTGAACTAGCTGTATTTACACAATCTGGCCCTCATATTTCAGGTTTTTGTAAATGTTTTATTTCTTAAATTCTAAAAATGTTATGTCATGAATAAGTGTAATAGAGTTCTTCATAGATGTTATTTTGCAACGCCATGCCCGCCGCCTTTTATCAGCACATCGTTTGACTGATCTTGGCTACTTTGCCGCACAGCTGGATTTCCACCTTGTGGCATGGCTTGGCAGAGAAAGGGATCGAGCAGCTAGAGTGGATGACTTTGTTGCAGCTCTCAAACAACTACATTTAGATTTTGTGTGGCCATATCCAGAGCTTTGCCAGCCTGTATCGTATTACTTACAGTGGAACAGTTCAACTTCAGGTACTCTTTTGATCATGACTTCCTGCTACTTGTGAATGCAAAATATAGTGAAGTCCCATTTACTGTTTTAGTAAATGAGAACATGATTTTGATGACTGAACTACTGCAGCATATTCATTTTTCTTTAATGGCTACAGTTATGTCATGTCAGGACTGCAGACTAACAAACTTAGTGGCAGGAAATAGAGAACTATACCTCTGAGAAGACATGCCAATTGGGCAGGATCATATTTGTAATGATAGGATGGTGATGATAAAATTAACGGCCAAGAGCGAACATTGTCTGTAGACCACTATGGGTTCTATGTACTCTTCATATTTACAAAGTTTTTACTTTTCCAGAGGTGAAGGGTGGAAAAACCACTTGGTAAAATTTATCTAATTTCACAATATATCAAGATTTATGGGAAAAATATATCTGCAGGAAGTTGGGCTGGGATTGTATGCATTGAACCCTAAATTTGAAACATTTATTACTGCTATGTTCTTCTCTTGTAGTGGGTTCCTCATCAGAATTCTGTTTGCATTCCTTGCCTTTCCCAGAATAGTGTTTTAAAACTCATGCTGATATTCCAGAATAAATTCTTAAAATGATAGGGATTAGATCAGATTTATATAATTTCAGTCTAGCTATATGGGTAACAAATAAATGTGTTATTTTAACAACACATGTTATTTAATGGCTGGTGGCAGAGCTACAAATGAATCGATAATTTAATAAATTCTTTAAGAAAATGTGCGAACCATTATTTAATGTTGTTTAAGAGCAGTATGCATAAATGATGTTGAATTGAAAATGTTGATTGCAGATTCATCTCCTACCCTTGACGATCGTATGAAATCCCTTACAGTCGACGTGGTAAGCCCAGGTGCTAATGGAGGAAGCAGGGTAGGTGACAGTGGCTACATGAGCTGTGCAGGTGGTCAACATGATGCATTTCTTTCTACTGCTATCCCAGGCCCAGCTAATACTACACCAGCAGTGGCAGGGTCATCACATTATACAACTTGTATATTGATGCCCAGTGAATACCGTAGTAGCTCTGTTATTGAAGCTCAACTCGTGCCTCATCTTTTGCAAGGTACACTTAAATTAATATAAACCGGGTTCATTGATTAGGTTGTATGACCTGTTCCTGTGAGGTCTCCCAATATTCCTGTTCTCTGGTTTATAAATTCCTGCTATCTTTGACACACATCCTGGAGCCAAATTCTTTCATGAGTGTAATCCTATTTTTCATCACCTTCATCCAACAGTCAGTCATTGAATTCAAGATACCTTCCTTTAAAATATAATGAGATTATCTTAGGCCTCTACCAAATTTATTTCTGTACTTTATTTGATATTTCATGTTCACATGTATGGAAATGAGCATCGCAGGTAACATTGGAAAAAGCATGTGTAGTTGCTTTGAACCCATTGATTTTTAAAAATAGTATGTTGTACATCTCTTTACATGTTTCATACAATTTTATTCTCTTGTAATTCAGTTAATACATTTTTACTTTTTATTTTGCTTCAAATGCCATCATTAGTTATTCTTTCTCTCCTAGTTTTCCTCTAGTATTTCTGTTACTGTGTAAGCTTGGAGTTTACTATTATTCGTTTTTATAACTGTCATTAAATTGATGATGATATTGGCATGAAATATTCTACTGATCCATTTGAACCTTAATTTTTCCAGTCTGCAAATGTATAAGAGTTCCCCAGTAGACTGACAAGTTTGCCAATCACTACTGTTGGTAATAGATTATTGTGTGTCTTATTTTCTGTTTGAAGTTTGGACCATGGACCATTTAATTCACCAGTAACTACATTTTGTGAAGTAAATTCATTTTCTGTAAGGTTACATTTAAATAAAATTTTGACATTTATTTTTTATAAAGAGATATTTGTTGTAACAGACCACATTATGTGGTAGTACAGTGTACTTATATTTATATGTAAGAACATTTGTTCATCATAGGATGCTAGTAATAGGAAACACAGTTGGTAATTATGGTTTACTATGGTAGCAGATGAGAGCAGTATGATGAGTGAGGAGAGTTCATTCTGGGGAGATGATCGAGAGCAGTACATGTCTGATGCAAGTGAAAATACTAGATGGAGTGATGTCCCAAGTACATTGGTCCTTGAACAGTTATCACAAGAATTAGCTAACAGAGGTTCACCAGAGTCTGAAGTGAAACTCAGGTAATGCTGTAAGAGTAGTATGTTCTGAGAGGAGGGATATCGTGTGTAATCACTGCTTGTGTATGTCTTACTATTGGACACTGCGGAATTGTAGGCATATGTTCATGGCAGTGAATCCATGGTCTAGTGTTCAAAATGTAAGGTGATAGCTCCAATGACAGAGGTACAAAATTTATTTGCAGTGAAATTTTTTGCATGCTCTCTCATTACCCATGACTGTCAAAGCTTTATGAATGTCACTAATATAGGGCATCTGCTGTGATTCTGTCACTTGAGGAGTGAATTCCCTCATTCTGGCCAGGTGAACATTCCAAATAATTTTGTGATGTTTCTACTTTGGATGTTGTTTAATGTCCTGAGAAATGTCCCATATTATTTACATATTTCAAGTTTAGAAATAAATTATCCAGAAAGAATAAGTAAATGTAATATGTTTTGTATTTATGAATTTTTATTTATTTATGTAGGAGCCATACCCTCTCTTCCACCTAGCACCTACATGGTGTATAGTGGGAGAGCTTTACTTTTATGTTTTATTTAATGACACTTGTCATTAGCTCACACTATATAGTGTTGTGTAATAAGATTAATGAATAATGAACTGGAAAAGAAACCATCGCCTAATTTTAGGTACTAGGTAATGGAATTTGCCTATATAGTGGAACTGAGGAACATCACAAAAAATCTCGGTCAGAATATGCAGTATATATACAATTTTTTTCAGTTGATATAAAGGGCCTGGTTTCAGATGTAGAGATCTGCTAATTATACTTTTAGTATGTCCCGAACCTTTGTTCCCGACTTTATTGTTCTCAATTTACAAATGTCATCATATTCATCTGAAGAATAAAACTATTTTACAGGTATCTCCTGCAGTTGTTTATGGAGGCAAGCTGCTTAGAGTGGGCATTGTTGATCTCAGTGCTGCTACGGGATGCCATGGCAGTTCTCCGTACTACAAATGCTGCTCGCTCACCAGATCATTCCATAGAGGCCATTCTGCATCTCAAGGAGGGTCTGGTGGCATTGTGTCATTGGAGTGGCACTGAATGGTAAAATGTATCTTTAAGCTGAATTATAATTTACTATATTTATTTAAAAAA